CCTTGAGATGTAAATGGACAGCAGAGTCTAAGCCAGAGGAGTTGGCTCTCCTGTGTTGGGCCATGCGTTTATGCAATGGTTGTTTTGTTTCTCCAATGTAGAGGTCATTGCATTCCTCGTTGCATTGGACTGCATACACCAGATTGCTTTTGCGGGTGTGTGGTGTTCTGTCCTTGGGATGTACCAGCCTCTGTCTGAGTGTGTTGCTGGGTTTGAAATACACAGGGAGTGTATTTCAAACCCAGCAACACACTCAGACATTGAAATACACAGGGAGACAAATAATCAAAGTCCAGTTGTGTTTTGATAAAAAAAAAAACTCCTTTAGGATACCACATGACCTGGACAAATGAGAATATACACAGGCTAAATGAGAGATCATTTTGGTGAACTGGTGTGAGTGAGTCTGGACATTCTAAGCTGCTGATCTCTCTTCTTGCTTAACAGAAATGTATAAAACATTCAGGAAGCAGCTTCTGCCAGCAGCAGGTCATACTAACTGACGCCAATTGTTCATTCTGAGTAACTTGTTCTATCTTCAAGTTCTTTCTTATCTCATTTTCAAGTTGTAGATACAGGTTGTGAACATTAATCAGGCCGTCCTCTCAGCCTGCAGGTTTCAGAGGAATCTTTTCAGTTCTTATTTCTACTGTAGCTATTGTTTTTTCAAAGATTGAATGCTAAACCTGAATTGATTCAATAAGGAATATAACTGAATTCAGATTTGATGAGCAGATTCGAATACTGGATTCAAACACCAGCCCTACTTGCAAAGCCTATAGAGAATTAGCAGCTAATAGAAAATAAAGGTCCAACGGGGCAACAAACACAAAGACACGATCGTTCAGGATGTAAACAAGCTGACAGACACTTTACCATAACATTTCTCCCAGACCATACTAATGGTGGCTCAACAAATGTTACAGTGATGTGTTAGCATGGAGCATTGCCACTGATCAATGGGGTAACAGAGATCTTTATGTGTCCCAACCTCAGACCTGAATCAGGCTTTTATTCTGGTCCAGGTAGGACACGTTTCTGAACTTCACCAGAGAATCAGACAAGACTGCAGAGTGCACACGGTGTGAAAATGTGTAAAGAGAACCTCCTAATCTTTCCTATTCATTTATTTTTCTCACAGCTACTTTCATCACCTTTTGTGTGTACAACACCATGAACGCCTTAGCAGAGAGGGAGTCAGGTATTAAAACACATGCCGTTAGACATGTTCGGATCGCACCAAAGTCTATTAATGCATAGTGGAGCTTTAAGACTGCATCAGTGTCATAGCAGTAAGCAATAAAAACATTTCCCCCCTCCCCCTCAGGTGTGTGTGCTGTTTGTTAATGTTATGGCTTTCATACATTTCTGGACTCTTACAATCCTTGGAGAGCTGTGTACATGTGCAGGGAGGAGTTATTGCATGTGGAGGTAGTGCAGGTGGCCTGACAATGACTAAGTAACTGTATATGCTCTCATCCCACCCACCATCAATTAGACCTTGTTTAGTTTGGAGGGCTATCTGTCCGTAGTGGGGCCTGCATGTTTAGATAGTCTCTAATGGGGCAGTAGACCGTCATATAAACTCACTAGTAAAAGGAAGCACTCTGTATCTTTATGAGACAAACACAAGCAGGGACTTTACAAAGAAATAGTTTTTATAAGTTCAAACTGATGAATTTGTCCGTGGCTTAAATTTTGCAGAAGAAGCCGAACAAGTTGTCAAAGCATTTGTCACAAGACTGTAGATAGACAGAAACACTTACGCACAAAGAAATGGTCAGATCTTAAACAATAACATCCTATATACAGTTTGTGCATGTACACAATATGCCCACATTTGGTTTGTGTATTTACAAGAATGCAGGAATGTGTGTGTGTGTGTGTGTGTGTGTGCGTGTCTGTGTCTGTGTCTGTGTCTGTGTCTGTGTCTGTGTGTGTGCTTGCGTGTGAATGAGCAAGTCATTTGCAGAGCTCCAGCTGTTGCATACGGAGAGCCAAGGAACACGAGGCATGGGTCCAGCTGGCTGAGCCCTGCACGCCCATCACTGAAGCCAGTCAGCTCCAAGTAGGACAAACAGTACCTACGGGACAGGAATGTGCGGCAAACACCTCATTACAGTCTATAGGGACAGCACTTACTCATATTCTGTGCCGTTGATGTGTAATCAGCAATGCAGCAGATTCGCCTTCCCAGACTATGAATGAGGATAGACAGAGCATGTTATTAGTGTGAGTTGAGCCAAATATGCACATGAAGAAAAAGTCAGCATGAAGAAAAAGTGGACCAACAGACAAGTCAGCACACATTTACATAATGGCAAGTTTTTTATTGCTAGAGGTAGTATTCAGTATCCTCAAACATTATTGAGTCCTTATGATGCAATAAAGCTGCCTGTAAATTCATTATATTACATGACAATAACACACATTTTTCAATATTATTAATATGCACTTTTTGTATGTGAAATGTTTTAGTACAAATGCATTGATAAAAATAACTGCACAATCAAAATCTGAATTACAGTGAAGTAGGAGGAACAGCTGTCTGCATTAGCTTCAAAGGTTGAGGGTGTATTTTTCATCTTTGGACAGAGACCGGCTAGCTTTTTCCCCTTGCTTTCAGTCTTTATGCGAAGCTAAGCTAAGCTAATCGCTGTCTAAATCGCTCCATACTTGGCACACAAAGTTTCTCAAAACCATGAACTATTCCTTTATGGGTTTTATTAGAGTTTTCAGGTTTGATAAAACATCTAAACTGAAAAAGAAGGCTGTGAAGAAGAAAAAGTGTTATGAAGGTTCACTTCCACTTGGATTAAAGTCTGTATTTAATGTACTGTAGTACACACTGCTTACAATGAATGGCATGTACCAACAGTACAAACAATGTGTGTGTACTTGATGTTTTTACATTTTCTGGGTCAGAAGCTCTTTACAGCTTCTATGTGAATGGCTTACAGACGTCTGTCTTTGGCGACTCCTTCTAGTTAAATGAAAAAAGGCGCTTTTTCAGTGTTTGTTGGACATATTTGTGGAAACAGCATCTAAGGCAGCTAGCAGACATACTGTCAGCTTCTGTTGTGCTCTGCTGACTGGATGTCAGCCAAAGAATGTCGGGGTCCCCCTTCTCTTTGCTCCTAGCACAGAGTGTTAGCTTCCATTAGCATTTCAAGTTGTGTATCCCTTTATGACATTCAACATTTAGAGAGAACTCATTATCATATAAAGATTGCATTCAGCTTGTCTAGCTTGCTGATGATAGCATTTATTCAAACAGATGAAACCTTTCCTCCTCGTTTTTTCAGCTGAGTGACATTGTCAGAGTTCATCCCACCGTACGGGGGAGGGGGTCTCTAGAGGTTGCTCTTTTATGGTTGCAGTTGATGGGAAATTGACAATTGAAACCACAACCAGTAGTCCTAAACAGCACTCCATACATTTCACCTACAGCTGAACCATGACATGGACTAAGTATCGGCTTCAGCTAGCAATGCCTCAGTTAACAGCCTGCGTTTCCACTGTGACTGAATTGATATTATTAACTTAAGTGTCTGCCCAGCTATGATTTTGCACAAGTAAGTACAACATGATCAGTCAGTACCAAAAATTCATGTACCTTTATGAACACTAATGTACGTGATACAGTCATTGTAAAAAGATAAACCATTTTTAATCACCTCTTTTTGATAATTATGATTTTTTTTTAAATATTTTTGAGTATGTTTTATAAATAAGAAAATGTAGGAAGGTAGGTAGGAAGCAGCCAGCATCACATCTGAGGTGGACAACTGACTGGCTGATCAGCTTTTCTGGAGTTAATCTGGATTATACCCTGAAGAAAAAAAACTTACCAAATAATTTATAAGCACAGAGAACAAGCAAAGGATATTACAATTTTCACGATGCCAGAGAGAGAGGCTTTTCTTTGAGAGGGCTTGATGCCAGTACCCACAGTCTCTGTTATGAGACATGCTGAGGTCTTTCAATATAAAACCATAGACCTGTTAGTTTAGACTATAGCAGAGAGTTGTTTGAGTGATACCAGTTGGGATTCACACTGGGATCAGAGTGTTGGCTATTGAAACTACAGGGCTGTAGTTAAAATGACCACAAACCAACCAATACTGTTTGAGGGATCACAGTTTGCATGACTTTGTGAAGGTTTATTAGATTAGGTTTTGCACATATGTAAATGTACTGGCTGGCTAAACATTACAGTCCAGGCAAAGCAGATACACAACAATGTAAATGTCATAAAACTTAACTGAAATATTATATATTAGCCTGTGCATTATAAGTACACAGGCTAATGAGATATTCCAACTTCTCTCTTTTAAGAAAACTCTCCTCCCACTGAGGCAGATTTAATTCACTTACTAAAACACTGTTCTTGTAAATTGTATTTGGGTATTTGGAATTAGTTGCCCAGTAAGGGGCTGTTGGACTGCATTGGGCAGCTGAGGCAGAGTAAACCTCAGCTCTATGCCTTCTGGATTGCCAAGAGAGGAGCTTCAGCATTTCCTTTTTGTCAGTGTTTGTGGGGCTCTTGGAGAGGCTTGTGATGAATGGCAGTATGCCTTGGTGGGGGAAAAAAACACATGTCAATGAGCAAGACGCAGGCTGTGAAATATATGTTCTGTTCGATGAGTTCACTGCTGTGGGTTTATACAGTCACCTCTTCCTTCAGCTGGCAGGAAGGCAGCAGGGTTTCCACTGAGAAGAGAGCAGAGTGAGTTTTCAAATATCTACAGGTGAAGAGGCAAACGTGCAATGCGGATTTAAAGTTCACAGTCAACACAGCGATGAGAAGGAAACTGGAAACACAATAAAACATGGATTTCTGGCTGATAATCATGGATGTGTTTTAAGAGCAGACGGTAGCACGAGTTTTAGTTAACGTGTTCTGCCCTCTAGTGTCAAGAAGTTGTAAGCGCAATTATTTACGTCATCAACTATGCGCCGAAACCTTTCACGCATGCGCAGTAGTTACAGCTGACAAATTTCAAACTGAGCGGCGGGTAGTTGAAACTGAGACAGAAAAAAAACATCAAAGGTCCTTTGTCGTTAATTTAAGATAAACTGCTGAGAAAATGACGAGCACACTGAAAGGAATTACTCTGAAAGGAAGCGCGGAGCTTGTTGCCGAGTTCTTCTGTAAGTATTCACATTTATTTGCTTTTACCACAGTCCGTTTTTAACGCTGTGGACACACAGGCATGCGGTGCTAACTACAGGGCCTGTTGCGTGTAGCGTCATCCATTACCTTATTTACCTTATAACACATTTAACATATACAAAAGTATCAGAAAATAAAATGTCAGTTCGAAAGTGTCATTTTCCTAATCTGAGCACAGAAACAACCAAACTCACCTTGTTCTTTTCAAATTTTAACTCTTAAATCAAACGTGTTGATCGTGAAGTGAACCGCCCACCATGGACTTTACTGGTGAAGAGGAGTTGACTATTAAAACTGTGTATTTCATCTACACTCATCTAATTAGAGCTAAGTTATTTTTTGACAAATGTAGTGCTATAAACAGTGTAATTGAACGTATCATTTGGATCAGATATGTTATATTTATTTGATCGTGTTGTTTTTCTGTCTTGGAAGTGTTATAACTTTGACTCTTGTCCTGAACCCTTTGAGTTGTTCTTTCCACCACAGCATTTGGCATCAACAGCATCCTGTATCAGCGGGGCATCTATCCTCCAGAGACCTTCACCAGAGTCACCCACTATGATATGAGCCTTCAGCTCACCACTGATCCCAAACTGAAGAACTACCTGACCAATGTGGTGTCTCAGCTCAAAGGTAGCCTCAGTGCTTTATTTGAGCTTCTCAAAGCTTTTTCCAGGGGGTTTTCACTGTAGAAGGCAAGAGTGATCTCATATGATCTCATTGTGTTGTCATTGTCACTAAAAGAGAAACTGAGTTTAGTCATTTTGAACTGAACAGAGTTATTTTGTTGGGGATCCCCGGGATTCTTGGGGGAGTGTTTGTGTTCCCTCGCTCTAATCTGGCCTATGGATTGGAGTTCTGCGTGGGTGTACTGAGACCTCAACCTGACTCAAGACATTCAGCCACATTTTTTACACTGTCTTTTTTTACTCTTCCCATTGGGCACTGTGCACCTGCTACTAAACAGGTTGTTAAGATTAAGATGTAAGTATGTAAAGAGAAATTTAGAGTGACGTTGAACAGTGAGTATTATCATTAATATTTTGTAGAGGAATAAGCACAGCATTTCTTTAGTGAATCAAATAAATCAAATGTGTAGTTACCAAACCATGGTTGCAGCTGGGGCTTCAACTAATGATTTCTTTTCATTTCTGAATAATCTGTTCATTATTGATGTGATGAATCATTTTTATAAAAATGTCTGAGTAGTGAAAAATTCATTAGTCAATTGAGAAAGAAATTTTCTTGATAATCGATTAATCACTTTAGTCATCTTTTATACAAAAATGCCAAACATGATCTTTTTAAAATTAGTGAGAGGATATGATGCTTTTCCTTGTCACACATGATGGTAAACTGAATATCTTTGGGTTTTGGACAGAGATGCACTGACTGAAATTTTCTTGGTCAATTCCGATTTACGATTTTTATTCATTTTTTTTAAAGCCTGACCTGCTGATCCAGTTTTATTTCTTATAACTATAATTGACAGTTACACAAACATTTGTGTCTTCTTCACTCAAGGAAGAGCGTACACGTGAACAGCATCTTGTGTGAGTTCGACCGGCACAGAATAGGATATCTGAGACTGATCGGCCGGTCACTGATTGTAGCCGATCAACATGAAACTGGCCTTTTTCTCGGTGCATCTAGTTTTGGACTGTTAGTGGACAAAACTAGATACTTGAAGATGTCACCTTGGTCTGTGGGTAATAATTTCTTTCTGGCATTTTATTGACAAAACAATCAGTCGACTTATTTAAAAAAAAAAAACAATCGATAATCTATAATTCAAATAATAGCTACTTGCAATGTTCCCAGTAGGGCTGGGATAATACTCTTATCTACTGATTCAATACTATCATGATACTTGGGTGCCAAATCAATATGTATTGCAATTTCTTTAAGTATTGCGATTCGATATTTCAATTTATAGGGATTTTTGTTTCCTTTTTAACACTACACCATGAGAAAAAGGTGAATTTCCCACCATGGGAAAATAGTCTCTATCTCTACTAGAGAGTAGAGATAGAGACTATGTATATCATATTTTGAATTACAAAAACCTCCCAATGCTATCAGGCTAACCAGCTAGCTAGCTGTTATTACACTAGCTCAGTATAACTAATAAAATTGATATCGATTCAGGAATCAGCATGGCAATACAAAGTCAATAGTTTCTTTTTTCCTCAGGGTGTCGGATTGAGTGGTTTTCTTCGACTAATGCTCCAAAACTAACAGATATTGAGTTTAATTTGACATGAGACAAACAAGAGAAGCATGTTGTCAAATTTAAGAAGCTGCAAGTCGAGAATTTTGGTATTGTTGCTTTAAAAATGACAAATGATTTATCGATTACTAAAATATTTGGGTTAATTTTCCTGTTGCTCAGTTAATAGGTACAAGCATAAATTAATATTGTTTTCATTGTTTTTAATTTTTTTTTTCGTTTTGAGATTAATTAAAAATGTAATAAATGTATATATTTGAGTGTTTTTAGTTTGCCCTGACTGAAGAGAGGCAGCACTGTATTGGATCACATTCAGTTTCAGTGTCAGGGTTCAGACAGTGACTGTGTTGCTCTGTGTTGCAGAGTGGCTGTTTGAGTGCACAGTGCAGAAGCTGGTGTTGGTGATCACATGTCTGGAAACCAACGAGGTGCTGGAGAGATGGCAGTTTGACATCGAATGTGACAAGTCAGCCAAGGAGAGCAGGTCAGCTCCCCTACTGTTTATTTAGCAGTATTCTTTAAATAGCTGAACAGTATTTGAGACTGTTCTATTTCAGTTTAGGCGATGAATAATGATAATAAATTTTTTGGTTTTGTAACATTTAATGGCAAAATTTCTCAATCTGTGTTCTGTGACAGAAAGTGGCAGTTAAAGCAGATACCAGCAGGTGGCATGTGTCATCTGTGGTGGTGATCTACATTTTTCTTGTAATTAACTAATCCGATGTGCAGACCCAAACCAACAATGAACTGATCCTGGTACCAAGTGTTGTCCAGAAGCTATAAAACACACCAATGAGTCATACACGTCATCACCATGAACACACACACACTAGATTATTTTGACTCAATCCCTGCTGCCAGAAACACTCAGTAGAGAGACTGTGGGTAGTCTGTGTGGTGGCTTATTAGCACCCATGGTTTTGTTTAATTGTGAGGCCATATCTTGTGGACATCAGTCCTCTGAAGAGAGCATTGCCTTGCCTGTTCATACAGCTGGACACATGTTCATGGTGGCCTTTGTAACACTGCTCTTCTTCAGTGTGTGTGTGTGTACACACAGTTCTTAAAACAATGTTTGCCTGTGTTTCCCAGTGTTCCCAGAGAGAAGTCCATCAAGACCATTCAGGATGAGATCCGCTCTGTCATCAGACAGATAACAGCCACAGTCACTTTCCTGCCTCTGCTGGAGATGCCATGTGAGTCACCAGACACTTTTCAGTTTGTCTTATTTTCACTTTTGGATTATATGTGTGTAAATGTGTCAGTTGACTAATCCTTTTGACTCACTGGCCCTTGCCCCCTCTTCCAGGTGCATTTGACCTCCTGGTCTACACAGACAAAGATCTGGTGGTTCCTGAGAAGTGGGAAGAGTCAGGACCACAGATCATCAACCAATCAGAGGAGGTGCGTTTACGTTCCTTCACCACCTCCATCCACAAGGTGAATAGCATGGTGGCGTACAAGAGGACCGACTCCGTTTGAACGTCCCCTCAACCGCACAAGCTGTACATAGCAACCACTGCCCTTTATAGAAACAGTAGATTTTTACACTGCCCTGTCCTACCTCACCCTCTGCGTCTCTGTCCAGTACTCTGCGTGTTCTCCTGCTTTCCCTGTCCGAACCTCACCTTGTCTCCTTTGTGTTTTTGAGAAGGATGTGTGGACAACATTCTCTGTCTACACTACATATTTCTCATAAGCAGTGATTTGTCTCTAGGAACAATCTTTTCTCTATGTTGTTTCCTCTTTTTCTCAAGTTGTCAAGCTCTGTTTTAGAAGCTAGTGGTTTATATGTTTAACTTTTATAAAACGTCATCAAAAAATAAATGTGATTTGCTCTGTCACCCAGGTTGCTTTGTGGTATTACTGCTTCTGACCAAGAGGTGGCAGTGCTACATTAACAGAATTTGGAGTGTGAAGTTGGCTCATGGTGATTGTGTGTGTGTGTGTCTTTGTAGTGTACAGTTTTCCAAATTATACAGAACACATAGATAATGAGCATTATTCTTTAATGGGACATACCATTTACTTGGTTCACAGTGTTCACTGGTGTCGAGAGTTGCAGATGTGGAACACCTTCTTCACGACAGTACCATATCAGCATATTACATTTTCTCACCTGCAGCAGACACCCACACATCTCTCATCTTAAAAAAAAACCCAAAAACGTTCTCTCTGGTGAAATGCCCTCTCATGTACATGCAACAAAACAAAAAGAGAAGCAAATTTCTCTGAAACAACCCAGAGACTGAAGCAGTTAGGAAATAATAGATACTCAGTTTTTTGAAAAAGTACAGAGGTCGGGCAACAGGCACATGTACTACACTCCTGGAGACTTATTTTTAGTACAAAACAACCACAGATACAAATGAGCTTTCTGAACATGTGCGCCTACAAAAGTGCTTCGGTTGAGACCAAGCTGGCTGGCCTCCTTGTTACTGGTAATAAAATGCACATAGGTGGCACCTGTTGTGCGTATAGAGTAGTAAAGTGTAAAGTGATCTGAATGATGGCAGTTGAATGCGGAAGTGTGAGTAAATGACCAACACCATCTTCACTATCATAAACCTTCAGACCCTGTTATGCACTAACTACAAACTGGTAATTACATAAAAAGGCGTTTGAGAGCAGAGGATGGAATCATGCGTTTTAGTGGGCAGTGCACACCAGCCTCACAACTATGGTCTTCCACTGGTTTGTATCCAATAGAAGCCCTTTGCTGTTTGCCACGGAGCAGAATCACTGGATCATGTGGAGATTCATTTTTTCTGGAGGGAATTCGACAGTGGTTTTTGGGGAAATTTGCTCACAGCTGGTCATTCAACCTGAATACTTCTTTGGGTATCAGTCAGTCAAAGCTGGCATTGAGTGGCTGGTCAGATTTCTTTTCGGATAGATAAAGTTAGATATAATTAGACTTTGAATGAATATTTGCCAATTTAAATATTTTGTGTAGGCAAAGTTTGGCTTCTTTTGTTTCACTGAAAATGGGTTTTGTTTCTCAAAGCAAAGTATTATTAGTTAGAAGCAGTATTCTTCAAAGCAATCGATCAAAGTATTGTTTTGTATGGGGACCAAAAAACTCCCAGTCCTGGTGTGGACATTCAAGGGAGCAGTTTTACCAATGGTTTAATTAGTTTATAACAGATTATATTTTCTCTCGTATCTCTTTAATCTTCTGCTGGTGGTGACCCCCTCAGATTTACCTTGGGGCCCCTTTGGTGGTCCAAACCACTAGGTTGGGAACCTCTGCTCTATGGGCTGAAGTGTTTGGCCATGTGTCACAAGAACTGTAGTATGCTAGAAAGTTTTAGACAGCAGTGGTTTCCAGATACATTCATAATTATTTTACACGGTGAAAACTTCTCACCAACTCCATTCTATAATGATGCTTTGCAATAGTAATAGAAACCTGAATGTAGTGGTGAATGTGTCTCATGCACCAATTTAATCCAATGAGTTTAAGGATTGATAGAAAGGTCTTTGTAAATTTAAGTCCTGATGTCTTTTGATGTCTGACCAGCATGTCAGATTTGTGGAAATAGGAATGATGTGTGATGGCACAGAATGCATTGCAAATAGACCTGAACTAAACCTGTGCCGTCTTCAACTACATTCTATTGTTGGCTGAAATGGATGTGACATCAAAGTAATAAATCCCAACAGTGTGGTCAGCCTGTCCATAATCCACATTTTGCTCCATCATTCACTTATAAAAATGGGATGTAAAAACAGCCTCTTATAGAGGGAAGGCATTAATGGGTGCACATTGATGTGGACAAATATTTTTTTCTTTTAACTGTGAATTGGTCCTATTTTATCACAACAAGGCAGTGGAAGAATCTAGACCAGTTTCCCTTTGAAATTGCAGGCCTAGTCTTTGGCTATTTTATATTTTGGAAAAAAAAAAAAAAAGAAAACCCTCAATAACACTAGACAGTACATTTCCAGATGTCATCTGAAAGAGTTGTTCCCAAGAAAGATCCTTCAAAAAAGCAGAGATGCTATTTTTAACTATGAAAACTACATTTCCTATATAAAGAACTGTGTGCTCTTGACAAAAGGAAGGATGACCTTATAATATAGAAACTCTAATAAATATATAAAACAAAAATAAATATGCAATAGTTAAGACAATGAGTGAAAAATGTTACAAAAGACTCAAACCCTTGTAGTGTGTGTGCTGTGAACAAAGACATATTTAACAAGCATATCAGATTATTGTGACACTATTTAAAGTATATAGTAAGTACGATATCTGTAGCCCACTGGGACGGCATTGATCTCTAAGGATCTGTCTTACCATTCAGTGTTCCTCTAAGATTCACTACCTCTGAGAGATAGTGGAGGTGAGACTTCAAGGTAGGTAGACTTCAAGATGAAAGCCACTCTGTGCAAAAATAAAAAGAGCTATGGTAATAAATATAGCTTAGTGCTGACTGTTATTGTCTCTGGTGAGTGACAGCTATATAAGAATGGTGACAACAGGAAGACAAGTCTCACAAAGTTTGATGAAATGAGCCTACTCTCTGAAACGCGTCTTTCTCACCTGTTTCTCATGTGACAGCTAAGACATAAGATTTTTTTTTTTAAGGTTTTATATTAAGGGATACTACAGCTTATTTTTTGTAGTTTTGGCCATTTGTTATATGTACTCACCTAAAGTCACTGAGATCTGGGGAGATGGTGAAATGACTACATCAAAGTCTGGCAGGACAAGACATGAGCAGTGAGATGATCAGACAGGTTGTAAACAAACCAAAGTGTAGCTATTTCATGGAAACTACTTCATTTGGAGTAAAACTGAAAGTATGCACACCTCAAAGTGAAATGTTAGTTATAGTCCTTCACTGTGACGAACTACACTACTACTTCAGCAAGTCTGGCAAACTGTGATGGATGTTTACAGCAGACAGTCTGGCTGAGTTTGGTCATCCCTGACATTTCCTGCTTGAAACGCAAATAACATTCCCATCATTTTTAGCTGTACTTTGTTTTTAGTGCTAATTGTCCAATGTTATGTTAGCATGCTAACATGCTAAAATAATATGATGAACATGGGAAACATTAAACAATACCTCACAACTGTACCCTAAACCCAGTGTATTAGCATTTTGCATGCTTATGTTAGCATTTAGCTCAAAGCACTGCTGTGCCTGACTGTTATCATGGCTCTAAGTCTTGTTTATTGATGCTGCTGTATTCCCAGATCTGAGTGATTAACTTGGTGAGTACACACTAATTATTACAAATGGCAAGGACCAACCTACTAAAATAAGAGCGGAGAAAGAAAACTTGAAAGAAACTGGAATTATGTGTTAGAAAGTGTAACATCAGGAACAAACTGCCTGTGTTACATGTGTGTGACGGCTGACGTCGTTGACTTGCTGTGGAGAATGACGTGTGTGTGTGTTCACACTGGCTGTGTCTCTGCTGCTGCAGCTCTGTCTCTCTACAGAGAGTTTACAGGTTACTGGAATGTTGGATTTATTGTCATTATAAATTAATTTCTGATTTACTTTAGACAGAAAACATCACCATATATTTTTCACATTTTACACATGAAAAATAGGCTCTACCCCTTAACACGTGTCGAAATGAAAATCAAGATGTTCCTCAGCCACCACACACATGCCACACACCCAGTGTGTTCCTGGCCTAAGAAGTGTTAGAAAAACTTTTGGCATAAGTTGGGATCTGAACCTGCTCTAAGATTGCTAAAGACAAGTGTATCTGCCCTCTTATCAAACCAAATCTAGTGGTTCTTTCACCACATAATCTTTTCCTGGTAGGGAAATATATTTTTGGTCACTTTCCTTGCACAAGGCATCTTATTTGTTCTTTCTTTCATATCCTGTATCTCATGCTAATTTCATGAAAGTTTGTGACACCAGATTGGACAGGGCGAACCCTGGGAATTTGTGTTGGTCAAAAGCCAAACTGGCTGTGGGATCACACCAAGCCATTGACCAGTCCCTTCTCACACTCCTCAGCCAAACACTTCCAATGCTGCCGGTTTTTCTGACATCCTTCCAACAACGGGGAGCAATACTCTGACATTCCAGCCAAGGTCTGCAACAGCAACAAAGATATTTTTTCAAAAAGGAAAATGACTGTGCATTGTGTTTTTTTAACAGTGTTCATTCATTTAACATCTTATTTCACATTTTTCACAATGCGAGACAAAGTGTCTTTCCAGTAAGTGGAAGATAAAGGTAAAATGCCTTTTCCATTTACTCATTAGGTGCATTGGTTTACAGAGAGGGAAGAGAATAGTAGTAAAAGTTAAATTATTTGAATTACCTCATATAACTGAGTACAGATAGCGTCAATGAAGGACACCTGCATGCTGGGAATCTTGTCTCTTTTCTCACGATTCATCAGGTCCTGAAGTGAAGGGATGAAAAAATAACATGTAAACTACATCAGAAGAGTGCAAAATGTTTGCATTGAAATGACAATATTTACTGCTCTCCTCAGGGCCTTTGGTGGGTTGTGTCAAAGCAGCCTTTCCAATTTTCTATAAAGTTCGAATGACTCGTGATCTCTGAGTGAACTTAAAAACTTCAAAGATGGGCTGCAACTAACAATTGTTTTCATTGTTAATTAATCTGCTGATTATATTATCTTAATTAATCCTCTAGTACATGAAATGTCACATCAAATTTTTCAAGAGCCGTCTTCAAATTGCTTGTTTTCTCCGAGCAAAAGACCAAAACCCAAAGACTTTACTTCATATTTGACTAAAAATCCTCACACTTGAGAAGATGGAGCCAGCAAATTGTTGGAAAAATGACAGAGACGATTAATTCATTATCAGAGTAGTCACCAGTCAATGTTCTTTAAATCCTCTGTGACGGCCCCTCCACCAGGGCACCAGGTGTTCCTGTTTCTTTTTGGTAGTTGATTTGTTTTGTTATCACTTAAATTGGCTAATTGTTTCAAATCTAAGCAAATATATATGTACAAGTAGGCCAAATGATGATTTAAAAACAAATTAAAGAATTGAGTCATTATGCAAATTTATGCAAAATTCCTTCTGGTCTAGCTAGACAGTCTGGCAGTAGATTTTAGGATTATTAAGTAATAGTTTATTGCTTTCTGAGAAGACCACACAAAGGCACATTAAAGTAATAAGCCATGATATAAGTCCAAATGCAAACAAATCAACCTTGTGTAAAGTGATAAAAGATTCCTAATACTATATATGATTCATTATTCACTTAAGAATCAACAATTAATACTGATTATACTGTTGGCATCCTGACTGTGAAGAAGAGCCATTAACAAATTATTGTAATTAATTGTAATTGGAAACAGTAAACACATGACAAATATCATTAAAATAACTCTTGAATGAGATGCCACACCTGTTGATGTCAGCATAAGTGGGAGGCCAATTAAAATTAAAAACTGGAGGTCCCAGAACAGATCCCTGAGGCACACCAGACCATGTTGTACTTCTCAGAAGAGGCTTTGTCCCCATAGGAATGATACACAGTACTTACAATAGGTTCAATGTTCAGCTCTCGCCTCTCCTTATCCCCCTGTTCAAAGAACTCAGTGGCCACCAGCTCTGCAATCTGCACCAGAGAGAGGAGAGAGAGACTGCTGAGATCTACCTAAAGCAGAGATGTTGATTTGATTTCAGTGAAATTTCAATTGGTGTAGAATACATCAAGGACTGCTAACAATAACTGGCAATGATGGTTTTCGTGTTACATCTGCATGTGAGACCAAGAACAGAAGCAATTATTGATGTTACACAAAGGAAAACAGTCTGTTAATTTCACAGTTTCTCTGTCATCTCTATCAAATCCTCAGATTTTGATGCAACCTCATCTAAGGTAGGTGTGTGACATTTTATCTAAAGAAATCACAGTGCAGCTCTGTTGTTGTACTTAACCTCAGAAATTCTGGCATATTTGTGGCAGTTTGAATTTCAGTAGAGGCTGAAGGTAGGGCTTGGCAATTAACCGAAAAAGCCGTCATTTAAAACCTCTCACCAACTTCATCTTGATCTTGTCGGTTAATTTGGTTAATACTTTCCCCGATGCTGCGTTCATGAACTGTCCCTTAAAAGAAACTACCTCATGTTCAGTCACATGCCTACCTCTGTCCAACCAACATTAGTCTGCATTCACTCCAAGCGAAGCTGGTGATATGGATGACATGAGCGACCACACTGAGCCTCAGGCCGCATTCACACTGATATGCTTTAGTTTTTAATGGTGTCACTTTTTCTACATTTACACCTGGCGCCCACACTACTCCAGAGTTTTCGAGCCCCTAAAATTTCGGAAACGATGAATTGAATTTTGGAAACGATGGAACAGAGACCCGCCTCGCATCCTGATAGGGTCTTATCAGTCACAACTTGGTGAATGCATGGATAGTGACACCACCAAGAGAGAAAGTAATCAAAGTAACCATTCATTAATCGTAATCAAGGTAAAAGTTTGAAATAATCATGATATTGATTTGAAGTCATAACACCTAGCCCTAGGACAAGGTTGGAACATAATACCATGGTGACAACAAAATGCTTCTCCTTTAATATTGTTAAATGACTGGAAAAGAGCAAGAATATACACAAAGAAGACAAGGAAGACTTGCAACTGCTTGAAGACACAAGCAAAAATAAAAGCATGGAAGAAATAACTAGAAAGAAGGAATATAAATGAGAGAGAGTATAAGTTGATATGTGAAGCGTTAAGAACAAACCAAAGAGAAAATGGAGTAAGAAAGAAGGACAGGTCTGCCAAAAGAGAGGTAGTCACTCTAACTTAATGGTCTCCGTGTGTGAACAGAGAGGTAAATGAGATCTGACTGCAGCCTCAGGCTCCAATCAGTTACACTCTGTGTGTGTGTGTGTGTGTGTGTTGAAGCCATCTGCAGCTCACTGATTGAGTCTGTAATCAAGGCTCAGTACTATAGAGCTGCAGGGGACTCAGCCAGAGAGAGGGCTTATTATAGCTGAGTAAAAGCAACACTAAGCATGAGGCAAACGTTAACTGGTGAGGCTAAGTAACTTTGTCTTTATTTACTTACCCTCATGTCAGTCAAAACACCAGTGTTTTTATGTCCACATAGCAAAGCAAGTTAGCTCCATGTAGCCAGGGACTGTTTCATAAGACTTCCAACAACAGCAAGACAGACCTTCCACTGGACTCCTCAAAGTGTTTCTGTTGACTTTGGAGAGTGCTAGCACACATTAATGCCATATGTTCACCATCAGTATGGTCAAGCAGTGTTTGGCTCCCTGGCCATCTAAGGCCATCCGAATCAAGACCAAGTGAAGACAGACTGGTATGTGAATCTTGAAGGATAGTTCTGGGTAATTACATCTCTATGTTTGTAATTCTTTTACAATATCTATCACTTATGATAACTTGTACTGATGAAGTGCCAGATCTCATGAATTACTTTGGTGGGTAAATTTTTATTTTTTATCATGCTGTAAATGATAAGACATGATGGCCAAAACTAGGAAGGTGTAACTCCACTTCACCTGGAATTGTCTTTTAACTGAGACAAAAAGTTTGGGTGTGACATCAAAAAGTCTGGTTTCAAGATTTCCATTCATTTCCATCCACTTTAGATGGAAAGGCAGAATTCTATACCAATTTAAGTCAAACTAAATATATATATCCCACACTAATAATTGGAAATCATGTCACGTGAAACAGATTATTATTCAATGACATCGGAAGTTTCAAATTTACGAACTGATGACATACTGTTACTTGTGTGTATACATAATGTACACAACTCAAGTACAGTAAGCTTTAATTATAAAAAAAAAAACATAATTAACTTCAAATGTATGCATCAATATTTCTGTATATAACAATTTACTCAAGTAATTTAGTAATAGTATCCTTAGTAAAAAAAAAATGTTCCTGATAAGGGATGCAGTTGTTGGTATCTCCTCATTCTAAATCCTAAAAAGCATACAAAGCTTCAGTAAATGAAGGATAAATGTTATTCCTCTTTTAAAAGAAATATACAACGCATCCTTAAGATCAGGTGCTCTGCTTCCAACCCTGAATGAAGCCACAACATCCTTGTAATTAAAGCCAAACAAAGACCCATTAGGACTTTGGTCATACCGCCCAGATCAGCTGAGTAAATCAGAAAGCAGCGTAATTCAATGCGCTCCGTAGTGCCAAAGAAAAGGCTGTTTTCACGGGAAGATAAACTGCTGAAAATATTCCACATGAAGCTACATTCAAACAGATATTGGATTGTTTTGGTGGGCGTTTTAAAAAGTGTCTAAAGCAAGTTTTTTGATGGTGGCACAGCAACACATAGCTCTGCTAGTCAGCCGGGTGCTCTCGGTCAGCTCTCCTAACTGGGAGCGCACACAACAGAATCTGCTGTGGGTGATGTAACGAATATTCATGACTGCCTCACACAACCCCACGTCATAAAAACCTGAACTATCCTTTTAAAATATTATCCAAAATGCCTTGCTAGATCCCTGTTAACATTGGAGAAAGGAGAAGTGGATGAATTTCTGGAACCTGTGATTCATTTAGTGGGGCAGCACAGTAACTGCAAATGCAACATTGACATATAACGTCTAAAGTTGACAGATATTTGCATGTGTTTGTATGTTTACTGCCCTGAGTGTTTTCAGAGGTGTCATATGAGGACAGGGGCACAGCTGTTTTTATTAATGAGCACTCACTTGTCAACACACACAACCACACACTTGCACATATACAGAGCGTGCTTGTCTGAAGCGCTCTTCATCGTGCTTGTGGTTCCTAACGAGGTGCAGACTAACGAAGGTCACCAGGGAGATGAGACAATGGGGACACAGCTCTATGGTGGGTAAGAATGATGGAACATGTGTGTGTGTGTGTGTGCGTGGGCATGCGTGTCCGTGTGCATGTGTGTGTATTGCAGGTTCCTTCTGCCATTTTTCCATCAGGTAAACTGGAGCTGGTGTGTCCATACACCCTCACTCAGTGGTAGGTGATGTGTCACCCTCATACCGAGGAGCTTCAGTGGCCATGTTTATGGCAGTGGCGTCACAAACTGATCCTTACTGTTATTTCAGACCTCACTGTGCTTGGACTTCAGAAATGCTTGGGGAAATGTAGCTTGTGTGGATGCTACCGCTGCTTGATCAGTAAAAGGGCTTTGCTGCTGAAAACCTCTTTGATTCAGATAACAGCAACATTACCACACTACTGAGAAATGTAGTTAAACTGGTAACACAGCTACTTGTTACAACCCTGCTGCCCAACATTTCAACTTTATAAGGTGATAATATGTGTAAATAGGTGACTGTTTGCTAATGTGGTAGCCATAACAACTGAATGAGGTGATGATGACGTCCCTGTGCAGTTATTTAACTCACTCAGTCTAGTTTAGTTTAGTTACAATGCCTCAACATGTGCATTCACTTTAAAATGGAAACTTTTTGTTTCAGTACATTGTCATTTCATGTTTCCTGTGGGAGTCAAGTGATTGACAGTAAGCTGAGTGTACTGTGCCACTGATGAGACAATAAAAAGCCCAGTATCACAATGACAGAGAAATCTGACAAAACCAAATACTTGTACTTGTTGTTGTTGTTGTTGTATAATCAAGGTGAAACACAAGCTGTCAGAAAGTAGAAGACAATGAGAGAAAACTATTTACTGGACAAGACCAAAATATTAAAAAAAGAGAAAAGGCCAGAACATTGCAGGAGAAATAACACACACACACACACACACACACACACAGTGGATAGATTAGATTTTCTATACCCTCTTCTGCACCGGCCAAGGCTTGGTGATGGCTGAGATGTCACATGCAGTCATCAGCATTGACCTGAAGGGAGAGACACGTTGACACACATTGATATGCACAGACCCACACCAGGGACAGACAGCGAGCCTGGCCTGTTACATCCAGTGTTGCCAACTGAGCGAGAACGTTTATGACCCTGATAACTTTTTCTTTTACCTCTAACTCTATAACTTGACTTTTGGAGGTTTTATTTTTTCAAATAACACGGAGTATGCATGTGTGAGTTTATTCCAGTGTCCGAAGTCTGTCTATCCATGATACCTAATTCCCCACATTCATTTATAGAGAGTAGATTTAAATGCACATTGATGAGATGATATAAGCTTGAAAAATAATAATAGCTGCTTAGAGTCAGTTAAGTTTACGTTGACTTTACTTTCATTTTTTGAAATCTAATATACATGTAAATGTTATATTATGTAACTAATATGCAAATTAGCTCCTGACATAATCTAACAACATCCAGCAACTGTTTGTGCTTTAGCTACTTTCCACTGAAAACAGTTGGCAACACTGGTTTCCTGCTGGAACTATTTCTAGGCAAACATAACTCCTCCTGAAACTGTACATTAGACCAACAAGATAAATATTGAGTAGTGAGATTCAGAGGTGTTGGTAAGTGTATTTTAAATATAGGACAGAGCCAGGCTAGCTGTGTTCCCCTGCTTCCATAAGCAAACCACGTCCTGACTCCAGCTCTGTATTTAACATAAAGACATGAGAGAGATATTGGTCTTCTCATCTCCCATCTTCCTTTGTACCACTGTTGATGTCATGGATATGTTGCTCCACATTATGTGTTTGAGTTTTGAGGGATTCATACTGACCTCAGTAAGTCTCTGTGATGTTCATCCTCCCAAACAAACTGGCTGTTCTTGGTGAGCTCAAAGAATTCCCCTCGCCGTCTGACAACACAAGCACACATACAACGACGCAGCAGGTAATTATCCTCATATATAATCTATGTGCCTCCTCAGCCACCCACTGTCTAGACTGAGAGAGGGTTGAAGTAAGAGCTGGAATGACTGAGGTTAGATGGAGAAAAAGAAGTGATAAAAGGGGGAAAGAATAAGTGGTAAAAGGAGAGATGAAAAGACAACTAGAACCTCTGCATTTCCTGAAGAAAATTCATGTGATTGCTGCATCTCACTTCTGGTGATCGATGTGTAAAAAAGGGTATAATCACAGTTAAAGCAAGGCACACAAACAAAGATATAGGTATTAAAATACTAGTCAAATAAAATGTCAATAACTGGCTACATGGTGGCGCTATCATGACAATTTTTGACTATGTGAAGAAATACACCAGTGGGCATCTGTCTGTCAAGTTTAATTTCTGTAGCCTTTACAGTTTTTGATATATTAGTAATTTTATGCACTACTTATTAAAAAGATAATAACTCATTAATTATGTGAGATATCAACAAGTTATTTAAAAGCTACTGTAACCTCGTCATATTTGAGTGGAACCATGTTTCTAGTCATTACTATCTGCAAGTAGTAGCGATTTGTATTGAGCGATATTTGTTTTTGTACTATGGCGCTCCCTCGTGGTGAAACTGCAAGAAACTCTTCAAACTTATTAGTGATGTCAGGCTGTACAAGTGAGCATTCAAGAGTTAAAGCAGACTGACTTGTAATGTGATGTAATGTACTTTTTTTTTTTATGAAAATGGGCGTGGTCTGTATCAATCTCTTCAGCATCATCCACTGACTAAAACATAGATTTTTCTTCTACGCCTCATGGTTGCCCTGTCTACACCAGAAGCCAAGTTAAAACTTTGGATATAAACTACTCAACTCTTTAACCACTGACTCTTGACCGGTTTTTGACATTGTAAACTCATTACCTTTGCCTAACACACACTTCTCGATCATACGTAGGTGATGTGCGTTTTACTGTGCATCAGTGGGATGGCACTTTTTTGTTTTTGAAAATGTGTTAGTGGTGCCCTGCTCTGTGACTGCACATGTAAATCAGCTCTAATATGTTAACGCTGATACAAGGGAAACATTTATGATTCATTTATTACATTTTAAATGAGGTGAGGAAAATATAAATATTATCTAGTTTTGCAGGTATCAAGAGAATATTCTATTCTATTAAACTAAGAGCCATGAATGAACTTCATTGTCCTGAAATGACAAGATGGGGCTGATCTGTGTTGCGCTCTGGAGATGAAAGAATTGTATGAAAGCAGTGGAAATACTTAACAATAACCTCCCTAATCTTCCTCTGGTCGGCCTGAATTGACTTTTCTTCTTCCACCCCGCCTCCGCCCTCTATCCCTCTCCAGTCAGATTTACATCTGGGCTTGACATTTGGTACCTACTTCATGTACAGGGCAAGGTCAGTGGCGAGAATAGCCCTCTCGATCATCTTCAGAGTGGTCTTGTACTCGTCCAGAGAGAGGCCGCTCAGGATCTGGTTTCCCTGGGGAGAGAGACAAAAAAAAGCTTTTTACAACCGCGCTGTCACAATGCTGAACATGCATTTAAAGAGGAAGTAAATAAGTTAAAAATAATAACTAATAACAATAACAAATACACAATAAATGAATAGAAAAATAGAAAAAAGTCATGTGTGAGGTAGAATCAATTCAAGTGATGCATCATTACAAACCAGGTGAGAACGTTCTCTCCTCTGATTGGTTGGGGCAGTAGTAAACACAGGAAGAAGGTTACGGGAACCGTCAAGCTCAAACTTGTGAGTTCTCCTGCTAGTGAGGTCGAATCCAGTTCAGACCGGGGGACAACGAACCAGGTTCGGTTGAACCGCACTAAAAACCCCTAAGTTCCGACACAGCTGGTCAGTGGAGGCAGCAGAACAATGCGGGCATGTTTTGTACTTCAGCACGAATGTGTGTTTATCAGGGCGGGAAACAGCTGCCTGTGGTGACCCTCAAGACAACAGCCAAACCAAGACAACAGTGTCACCTGGTTGTACTGTGGAATTTTAAAGTGTAAATCTTAATAACAGTAAGTTAAGTTTACTGTTGAATAAAACACAGCAGTCACAATGAGACATAGTATAATAACTTTTTAGCATGTAATAAAAATAACTGATATAGAAACTAAATTACTGACTACACTTTGTTCATTGTTACATTGGAATTGAAATCTAGCTGCAGGGCAGATTTGCCTCGTTATTTCAATATACAGTCATTTACTGTATATATTTACAAACGTGGCTCATACATGACTGTGATTGTCTCCCACTAGCTATTCAAACCAGCTATTCATAAATCCACATGAGATACCCCCTAAGTTCTTAGTAATTACAAGCTGGTTTCATTTTCACTGAATAAATCTGTCACTATAGCCGCTTTTTCACTGGTGAAAAAACCCACTAGACCTGCTAACATCGGGCTTTTGTCAGCAAAAGAAAAGGGAACAATCGGCATTCACAGCCGGGTCACATGACTCTGCAGTGGACATGGGTATTTATCGGGTCCGGCTCCGACTGACAGTGATGTAAACACAACAACCCGGGTGAACTCGCAAATTTTCACTCAGTGCAAACACAAAAGACAAACTCGACTAGATCTAATGTGGAGATCTAATGTGTAATTTGCCAGACAACAGCAGAGCTTTGTAAAGTTTGAAGAAATTGCTTCTAAGGCTGGCAGGGAACCATGTGGGAACATCATGAGAAGAGGGAGATGCAGCCTTTTGATTGAGCTCAGCTGCTGCATACAGAATGAGCTGCAGCTGTGAAAGGGCAACGAATGTCATGTTTTGCATAACTCTGATGAGGAGAAAATCTGGCTGTGAAGAAGACTATGTGCCTAATGTTTTTGTTCCTTCTGTCTTCCTGCCACTACACTCATATCCATGATGGTAATGACAACTTGCAAGTAACCATGACTTCAGTCAAGGCAGCTGGTCAGAACCTGCGTTTATCGGGGTGGGAAACAGCTGCCCGTGGTGAATCTCAGGCTCGTGCTGTAAATGGGCTGTAAGAGCCAAAAACAACAGTGTCACCTGGTTCAGGACTGATGTTAAAAAAGTTCATTAAAGCTGCATTAAGCAATATTTTTATATTAACAATGGATCAAATGCCTGTGTGTGATGTGAGAGACGGCCACTTGTAGTGATGCGGCAACAGAGAATTATCACCCACAACTGGAGTTCCCCTCAGCTCTAGAGACTTGTAGCATGTTTCAGCTCATTGTTTGGTTTTCTGAGTGCTAATAAACACACTGTGCTGTACTGCTGAGCACCAAACAGTGCACAGACTAAGTTAGCAACAAGCTGGTGAGCACAGTGTGGTGAACACAGGCTTTTAAAGGGAATGGTAGATGGCACTGTGATTGGTTTATTGGATATTAGGCCCAAAACACTCATGACTCATTAAGAGATTTAGTACAACCCTTTTTTTTTCCGCCGTTAAAATAGCAAATCTAAATGTAATTGCGCCACGGGCTCTAGAGCATGTGATTGATTCAAATAGACCAAAAAAATGTCAATATTGTGTTTACAGATTGTTACACTGTCCTCAAGTGACCGGAAAATAAATGTATACTACTTTAAAGCAGGTTTCAATACACATTTCACACTGATCTTCACAAACAACAACAATGAAACATTAAGGACTGATGCTTCCTGTGATTGGTGCAATGAAAAGAATGATGGAATGACTGGAAAATTTGTGTGTGTGTGTGTGTGTATGTGTGTGTGTGTGTGTGTATGTGTGTGTGTGTGTGTGTATGTGTGTGTGTGTGTGTGTATGTGTGTGTGTGTGTGTGTATGTGTGTGTGTGTGTGTGTATGTGTGTGTGTGTGTGTGTGAGTGTGTGAGTGAGTGAGTGAGTGAGTGGGTGGGTGGGTAGGTGCACCTACAGAGCTGTTGAGGATCATGAGGCACTGGTCGAAGTGGTGGTGCTCCATGGTAGAGTGGCAGTAGAGCTGGGCCAGTGGATGGTCACTCCTGAACACCACACACACACACACACACATACACACACACACGCACACAGTTAACTCCCACACATGCATATAAAATCATACATATACTTGTGACTTGTATATGACTCAGGCTCTCCTGCGGTACCTCTGTATGTAGGAGTTGTTGACTCCTCTGTGGTCCAGGTCATGGCTGAGAGTCGCAATCATCAGAGCCAGGATCTCCAGATCGCTGAGGTTATTCTGTCAGGAGATGGATGGTGGATGAAGAGAGGGAAGGACAATAGGAGGAAAGAAGAGAGGTGAAAAAATACACACATGGACTACATCCAAAGAACAGCAGCTGGTTTACAGATGACAATCTGTTGCCAAAATCAAACCAAACAAAAGCCTCATGGCTGTGTCCACACAGAGCTGTTGTAACTCTCCACACATGGTTGGCAGTGTGGGCGCTCAGCACACAGCATGGAGTGGACAGCGAGGCCGTCTCTGCTGACGACAATGCAGTGTTTACACCACAGCTGAAGGTAGGGCTGTTTTCAGGCCGGTACTACAGACAGTTCCAATAGTCAGAAAAAGCCAGTGACTTTTACATATAGGTAAGCAGAGCCTGACCCCCCCACCCCACCCCCAACCCCACTCTCACACCACTCCAAAAACCAAACCTTTTCATGACAGTAGCAGCAGAAAATCTCTGAACATATCAAATCTGAACATATCAAATCTACAGTATAGAGGATAAATATCTAGAAATTACTTCTATGGTAATCTTCTAAATATTTACCATTAACTGACAATGACTCACTCCAGTGACAATGTAGAATCCCTATTTTCCAGCCTCAGTGTCTTTAACCTTTCCTGGTGTGGACTGTGGTTGAAGCACACGATGTGGGAACTTGAATGTGTCTTGAGGAGTTGTAGAATTTATTTACTGACAGATATCCTAAAGTGCAACATACATTACACTGCGACGTTCAAAGTTGTACTGCTAACTGCTAACTCTCTGCTCCGGTCACCAGCCTCACCGTCATCTCTCTCTCTCTCTCTTGCTCTCTCTCGCTCTGTCTTTCTCTCTCTCTCTATGTACTGATCTATTCCTGAAAGGAGCTGCTCTACTCCTGTAACAATATTCTGTCTGAAACCTCTCAGACTTATAGCAGATCTCACACAGAGATGATAAATCACTGTATAATTTGCTCATTTATTTGCTACAACCACTTAACACTTAAGAAGAAAAGTTTAGTGTCTGCACACATCAGCACATGTGTATAATTTGTGCAATATCACAACTGATCTCAGAATGGTAGAAGCAAGAAGAGTCAAGGTCAGATTGACAAGCACACTTGTCCTCAATATCCTCAATGTACAAACGTCCAAAAAAATACTGTAGAGGTAAAAACGCTGAGATAGATAGATAGATAGATAGATAGATAGATAGATAGATAGATAGATAGATAGATAGATAGATAGTTGGCAAATGCTTTTTCAAATCTTTTTTTTCCTGATTAAAATTAAAGTCAGCGGTCAGTGGATCAGCTGAGCCTAAACCATGACTTTCTGCACTGACCTGTAAGCGTCCTGACTTGAGGAGGGCGAACATGCACTGGGCTGTGTTGAAGGCGTGTCTCCAATTGTGATAGGCCACGTTCTTCCTGTAGTTCTTCTTCACACTCAAAATCCACTGGCATAAACTCTACAGAGGAGACCAAGTACAGAATGAGATTTATTCAACCCCAGTGAGACACTTTCATCTTCATTTTGCCCCCCCAGTTTCTCCTGCTCTCAGTGCATTGTTGAAGTAGTTATTAGTTTGTGCTAACTTCATTATGTTCAAATTTATCTAAATAACGCCTGAATTCTGAAGCTCCTGAAGCTTTTACATGAATCATTTCAAACACTGACCCAGAGTCTGACTGAAGCGACACACAGAAACTACCCCCCGTATTAGCTGTTGTCCCTCTGGAGCAATTTGCTAGCTAGACAAACTAGCAAATGTGTTAGCAAACAGTTTCCCATACACATCCAGAAAGTACAGAGTAACATCAGCATTCATTTGATCACATGATAAGTCCAGTATTTACTGTCTTTAAGATCTGTGCTCCTCAGACAAAAGCTTTGCTAAATGCTGAGCTCTACTGAGCTACAGAGTAGTGGAGCTAAATGCTCCACTATGTTGATCACCTTCTGTGTAGCTCTGTGTGTCTGTTGTTTGGTGCTCAGCAGGTTCTAGTGAAGGTCATTTAGGTCAGTCCCCCTTTACTATACATTTATAATGTGTTTCAGTGCTGTATACAATATTCACAAGCAAATGTGTAAATCATTTAATTACCATAAACTAAATAAATTACCACACAGTGAACCTGGAGCCCGCTGGGGCTCCAGCACAGCTAGACTATCTCTCTACATCTCTGTATGTATTGATGCTTACAGCAAGAAGAGAAATGAAAGTTATAGATTTAGATTTATTTATTTTCTTTAGTGGCTTGACATGTACCTTATGACTGAAAAGAAAAAAAAAACACATTGTGAGTAGGTGTAAAATAACTGCAGCAGAAAGAAAAAAGCTAATGTGATGAGCAAAGGGACTCGACTGTCAGGATGTTTGCCCTTTCTGAAAGTGAAGACTAAGCAACCTCCCAGCAAATCAATGCTCTGTGCTTTGTAAGTCTGTGCTACTCTACATTTTCACTGTGAACACCCTGTGAGTAAAACGGACTCCTTCTCAGGCAACATAAAAACCCAAACCATTATTCATCTTATCAAATTAATCTAGGTTCATTTTCTCTTCAGGGATCATTACACACTCATCTAAGATTATAAATAACACAAAATATGTTACAATCCTATGCTGTACAGTTTAACCCCCAGGACGTGATGCTCCAGGGTGGTCAGTGTGTGAATGTCGAACTGACAGGCTCCGCTGCTCGAGGGACCTAATCACCTCCAATCAAAGCTTCTCTTTATGAGGCCTCCCTCCACAGGCACTCTGGAGGTCAGCCACCAACATACAAGGACCTCTTCACATGGAGAGTGTGCTGAAGATGTGAGCCAAACCCACCAGCAACCGGGCGGTGCTGGCGCCGGGGGGGGACGGGCGGGGGGACGGGGGACGAGGAGAGCGGTGGGTCTGCCAGACGGCGGTAATGGAGGGAAGAGTGTGTGAGTGATTTGTTTTGGAGGGTAAGTGTTTTAGGTGTATGATGGCGCTGTGTGTGTTTGTGTGTGTGTGAGGTCTCTCTCTTATGGATGCAGGGAAATACACAAATAATAACTCAGTTGTGAATGCATTTGCTCATCATCCAACACACAAACACACACACTCATGATGTAATGGTCTAATGCTGTTGACAATGAGCAGCAGATATTTTTCTTTCATCAATAAGACGAGTCTTTTACCATGACGTGTACTGAGAACAACAGCAAAGTGAAGTAATGTCTGTGTGTTGTGGTGTTGTTGTCTGCTGTCTGTAACTTTTGTGGTTTCGATGTCACTATGATCCCTTCATAATAATAAAGCCTTCCCATCCCTATGCTACACAGTCCCTCCAGGATTTCGAGGGCTTTTTTTGGGATTGTTGGGGGCTAAAATACCTGATTTCACAGCAGCTTTTCTTAAAAATTGCAATGCATCTCAAAATGTGTTTTTTAGATGTTTTTTTTTGCAATTAAACTGCAGGAGAAAATAAAAATTGCAAAAATTGTTGTTATCTATTTTTGTATAATTCATTAAAAATCAAAGGCAACTAGTACCAGTGATAATAAATCCAGTGCAGTGCAGGTGGTGACCCAGTCTTCAAAAAAAAGAACAAGCAATTACACTCCTCTGCTCTGTCTCAATCACAGGCAGAGCTGATCTTTATAATCACCTAAATAAATGGTCATTGACACATAAGTCCTTTGAGCCAACAAGTTTAAAGCTATACTATCTATCTAAGCGTATAAAACAAGGTCCAGATTGTGACCTCCAATGTGACCAATGTGTTGTATGGACAGATGAACACGGGAAGGTCTGCTCGTACCGTGTACTTCATCTGGAAGTTCTGGACCAGGTTGAGGTCCACAAACATGCGGATGGTAGCCCACGTGGTTTCAGTGTCCGACAGGTCGAAGTCACTGAAGCTGAAGTCCAGAAGCCGCAACGACTGGGCTGATGGAACTGTGGCGACCTTTAAGACACACACAACACACACGTATGAACATTAGGAAATTGAGAGAGGCTGCAGATTCAGTGACATACACACATGAATATTAAAGTGTATCATCTGCATTATTGGTTGAACTAATCACTGGTAATCATTTTCCAGATTCTTAGGGCTCTATCTTAGACCCGGCGCAACGCAAGTGTCTTTGTTAGTTTCAGACCGACGCAGTCGTCATGTTCCCGTCCCTCGCCCACGTTGTTTAAATAGCAAATACAGTTGTGACCATCTGAGCACCCATGGGTGTGTTAATTCTAAACTAGATGTGTTCAGGAGCATTGTTGGTGTATTGGTATCTCAAGGCAGCAGAAAGTGATTGACCAACAAAAACCTGGTCTGAAGTTAGTGTTGCAGTATTTCACTGATATTTTAAGGGCGTATTGTCAGAAGAGTAATATGCACAGAGCTCACACACTCTGCCTGTTACACACAAGCAGAGTGAGCTGAAGATGCTCTTAGATGTTGGATGAGTCAGGTGAACATTACGACACAGCCTCAGAAGGTCAGAGCTTCTTTGTGACGTGTTGTGTTGTATAACGTTGTCATGTGTCATGGATGTCTCTTGGCTCTACCTGGTAAATCCTCCACAGTGTTTCCCATAGTCACCACAGTTTCATGACAAACTGAAGATTTATTCACACTTCTCTTCATATCACATCAAATATTTCTACTGTTGTGGTTTTTGCTGTTACTTAACTGTGGAGTTGCGAGCAGCACGTTGATTCACTCAGACCTTCTTTGCTCCTCAGGACACACAGAGCTGCTGTTTGTATCAGTACTGGGCTCACTGGTCAGGACTGGACTCACTAGTCAGGACTGGACTCAATGGTCAGGACTGGGCTCACTGGTCAGGACTGAGCTCACTGGTCAGTCACAATATGTAATGAAATCACCGCAAATAGAATCTAACTTTGTGTGAAACACTGCGCTGTTATAACAGCAATACGCCAATGTTCAGCACCTGGCTTTAAAAGAGAATAGGAGACGGCACTGTGATTGGTTTATTGGATGTTACGTCCAAAACACTCCCATGATTCATTAAGAGATTAAGTGTAACCCTTATGAAGCATGTGCCAAACTGTTTCTTCTACCATTAAAATAGCAAAAAAAAAGACATGAACACACACTTGTGTCACATGCAAGGGCACCGACCACAGACATGAGCTTTGGATCATTAAAAATGGGGCCCTTAATCTTACTTTGTTTTATCTTATTTTATTTTATATGACGAAACTGACATTAATGCTTTAACTATACAATAAAGAGGTTTTCAGTCTACGATGTATCACACATACCATATGTAGTGGTCTCTTGGGTAGAACAGACCCAAAAAATCAAGCCTGAGTCCTAGATACTAAGTGACACATCCTCTCTGTGTCACCCAAGGTCAGGTCATGTTGTTAGTTCAGCCACTTTGCCACAGGAGGAGGCATGTGGTGCAAAAGCTGTGCTGCACTGATTGGTTCATATTTGGAATGAGGTCAGAAAACCAGTTATGTACAAATGATCTAATTAACTAAATCATCAGACAGCCTGACAGCAGGGAGGTCCTTTAATGTTGTAGGGGATTTGTGTACAAAGGTAGAGGGCCAGATCTACAAAAAACATCTTGGGTTTCCTTCAAATGACTGATGGTAATTTAATGATTATTTTCACTGACACCAATCTGATGTATTACTATGAAAACAAAAACAATATACACAATGCAGAATCTAATATTTAAAACATTGGCTTCACAAATGCAGTATTTTCTGAGGAAAACTGGCTCTAAGAATACTAACAGTCACTGTTTGTTTACTACAAAGTTTGGTACCTTTAGATAGATAGATATATAGATATTTTATTTAAACCGTAGGGGAAATTCATGTGTCCATTAGCTCATTGTTGATAATAATAATAACAGTTAATAATAAATAAACAATAATAATTAGATTAGTCCACTTCCTTTGGCTGAGTTGTTGTATAGTCTGATGGCAGTGGGAACAAAGGATCTCCTGAACCTCTCTGTTTTGCAGCGCAGTGAGATGAGATGTTTGCTGCAGCTGTAGCTGCTTCTCCGTCCTACTAGAATGTTGTGGATAGGATGTATAAAGTACGACTGAAATGTACAATGTTCATGTAAGCCATGTCAATAAGTTGTAAAATAATATCAAATAAAATGCTACTCTTTATAAATGATTAGAATTTCACTTTCATTTTCTGTAGTTGTCATTTATAGTTATAGTAATTTTAAGTTCCAGTTAGCCTGGAATGTACAGATGAAACTTTTTTAACTACGTGAAGTGTTTAAGCTCAAAAGCATTTAAACCACAAACTGTAAATAAAGAAGGACGTAGCCTTTGTGACATCACCCACAGGTTTCTGAAGAACGATATTTAAACTCAGAGCGAGCTGCTCCACTGTTGCCATCTTGGCAGTGTCTGAGTCTGCCCATAACGCCCAGCTAATCCAAAAATGGTCAAATAGGAGGGGCGTGTGNTTTTTTTTTAACTATGTGAAGTGTTTAAGCTCAAAAGCATTTAAACCACAAACCGTAAATAAAGAAGAACGTAGCCTTTGTGACATCACCCACAGGTTTCTGAAGAACGATATTTAAGCTCAGAGCGAGCTGCCCCACTGTTGCCATCTTGGCAGTGTCTGACTCTGCCCATAACACCCAGCTAATCCAAAAATGGTCAAATAGGAGGGGCGTGTGTGGAGCTGAGACTTTGGTGTATAACAGTTTGTGGCAAACATACACTCACCCACCTGTCACCTATCACTCAAAGAGGCCACGCCCTCAATCCTCCTCAATCCTCCTTAATCCTCCTTAATCCTTAATAAAATGTAAACAGGTGAGTTATATAAACAGCTGTCATGATGGAGGAAATTAGCTCTAGAGACCAAAACTGTTTTTGTAACAGGCTGTAAACATGTTTATTTCTGCTGTAAAGTTGGACATTCTAATATGGGAGTCTATGGGGACACTATTGGAACCAGACTCTAGTGGCTGATTAGAGGAACTGTAGTTTTTGGCTTAAATTTTCAGCTGCTGAGGTTGGCTTAAATGCAAAAAGTAATTAGATTTTGTTTTGCAAAGGTTGGTTATGAGTGGAATATTAAGAACAGATGAAACTAAGGAGACAGACAGTGGTTTGCCTCTATAGAGTCATAGAAAGAAAGCTGAGATGTCTGAACTGCAGAGAAGGCAACCCTGTAGAGACGCCTGAGGGATGATTAAATGTTGAATAAATCTAAAAGCATTCATTGAAATGTGGTTAGGCATTCATGAAATCTAAAATATCATTTTTAACCATTTCTCTCCAAGGCTGTCTGCTCGATATCACTGGGCTGCTGCCTACAAAGACCAAAGGCCTTGTTAGTCTGGATTTCTGCATCATTACAAACTCTCCACAGCAATTCTGCTGCCACGCCTCCACCAGCTGCATATTCTTTTCAAATAACTACACAGTCAAGTGTTTGTGCACGAAGAGGACTTTGAAAACCCAGTGAAACAAAAGAACACCTATGACAAGTGGCCTCTAAACCCAGAGCAAATACAACTGTGTGGTGTCACTCTGAAACTCTGCATACATCAGTGAAATACTGTTTATAATGAGTATCATTGTATCAACATTCTGCTACTGCAACACAATCTGCTTCTGTGTCACTTGACCTTAAAACTAAAGTACAGAAGCAGAGAAGTACAGGCAGTGTTTTCTGAAATTTACATGACCAAAAAATATTTTTTGAAATGTTAGGTTTCATGAAATGTTATTGTTACTTCCCTGAGATCTCAAATATGTTTTAAAATCTGTTTTCTGAAATGCTGTTTTCTATTTTGCTGTATTATTTTTTATTATTATTTTTTTTATTTAAGTTTTGCACCACCTCTTTACCAATATATCATCCATTTATTAGCTATACCACTTAACCTTGGAGGGTCGCCGGGGGCTGGAGCCAATCCCAGCTGACATTGGGCGAGGGCAGGGTACACCAGGGGCAGATCTCCAGTCTATCACAGGGCTGAGACAAACAACCATTCACACTCACATTCACACCTACAGGACATTTAGCATCGCCAATTAACCTGCATGTGTGAAACCCACAGACACAAGGAGAACTTGCAGACTCCACAGAAAGGCTACAGGGTTTGAACATAGAACCTCCTCGCAGTGCACCACCGCGCTACCCCATCAATGTCATATTTTGCTAAATAATTAGTGACTCTACAACAAACACGGATGCTTCATGTCAACCAAAGCCCATTGTTCAAGGTGATTATAGGTTCATTCAGTGCATTTAGTGCTGATGATTTTCACCGTGTGCATGTGTGAGCTTGTGAGGAACACAGCCATCTAGAGTTGCTATACTGGCACTTTGCAGCTGATTCAGCAGGGTGGTGTAGTGTTACATGGCTGCTTCCTCTGACCTTGAAGGACAACATCTGCCTGTGTGTGTGTGTGTGTGTGTGTGTCAATAAATTAAATAATCCATGCATTGTTGGACACTGATGTGTATGTGGGTGTGTGTATTGTTAAATGAAAAAAATTTAATTTACCGCGGTTACCTGGAGTTCCCGGGATTCTTCCTCTGCAGCGGAGGCGTGATACGACAGGACCTGGAACACACACACACAACCACATGAGACAGGCAGACTCATCTCTATAGATCACCTCACTGCTTTGTGGTGTTTGTGATCATTTGATTTGACATAAATATTTTTTAGAATATCCAGGAAAGCACAATGTCATTTGTAGTTTAAGCAACGCTCAATAGATCTTTTCCATTTGTCAAACACAGGTGTAACATAGATGTGTAATGACATCATTAATGACATTATTAATTCATCATGGCATTGAAATAGTTGCTGGACCAGATCCATCATTCATATTATTAGCACGTAGCCTTCTCCTGCAATGACAAGTCAAAATGTCTGCTGCAATTTATAGTTCTTCAGGAGTGATGCTCTGCTAAATGACATGTTAAGATCATGATGAACAGGGTTTTGACAGAGGAGGAAAGAAAAGCTGTCAAACATATCAGTGAAATCCAAAATACGAAGAAACCCTCATGTTCTGGAGTTCACTGTCAATACAGCGTGAGAGCCTGGTGTCTTTTGAGCCCCCCCCCCCCCCCAAAAAAAAAAAGCGGAGACACAAGGTAGTAGCAGTTTGGGACATTCATTCAAAAAGTAAAAAGGAAAGAGAAAATGAAAAGTGAAAAGTGAAAAGTGAAAGTGGAAAGAAGCACAGATTGTGTTCATGATAATGTTTTTTCCAGAAAATCCAGTTGCTGCAGTACTGTTACCACTTGATGACTCTGTGTATGTGTTGTGGGTGTGTGAAATGTTTTGCCTTCCAAACGGCGGCATGGCGGAAAGAGGTGGGAACCTCTACACTAATGTGATAATATGAGAGTAACCTGCAGCACTGCTACTCAAATTGGTCTAAACAGTAAGCATGGAGCTTTCTTTCACTAAACCTGCACTCACATCCTTTACTTGAATCAAAGTAATAATGCCACAATGTAGAAATACTTGCAAATCTTATTTGAGTCAAAATAAACAAGTACTGGCAGGAAAATGTACTTGAAGTATCAAAAGTAAAAGTTGTCACAAAACAATGGGCCCTTTACTTTCAGTTATGGAGCTGCAAAGGTCCTGAGAGAATATATATTTGTCTAATGTACAGAAGATAATAGTATATGCATTAAAGTTATTATCATATGTGGCAAAATAGATGTATTTTAGTGATTTAATGACACATATACTGAGAGAAAACATGCATTTGTTAACTGTTGGAGATTTCATCATAATAGTTATACTGTGGTATTTTTTCCTCTATTATCTTGGGGCAATGTGACAAACCAATGCAGCATGGAAATACTCTTGTTTCATGATGGCTGAATTCAATTTAGCTGCTTCACCTTCAGGGTCCTGGTATTGTGTTTTGTATGATTTCTATCAGGTATTTAATCAGCTGCATGAATCAAAATCAGACGTTCCGGTGTGGTGCTGTAGTGTGGTGCTGGTTTCTAAAATGATTTTCCAGAAACAATACAGTACTATATCACTATATCATATACAATGATGGACAATTTTCTCCATATCGCACACTCCTACTAATGCTCTGTCAGAAAAAAAGTTGCATGATTTCTCACTGCTTGTACTTGAGTGGCTGGCTTTAACAGCATAACTCCATATAGATGTCATGTGATCAAAGACTCCTCACTGCAGCAGTGATCTCTGTTTCTCAACTCTAGTCTCAAAAGTACATTTTGGCCCAGTTTCTTCAAAGCTACTTTGTTGCTATTTTGACATCTGGTGACAGTATCATTTGGGGAAATAGTATTTTCTATGGAGAGTGGTCCTCCTCACTCATCAGCTTTACTTTAGGAAAGTGATGAAAGTACATTAAAGCCTAGAGTACTGAAGAAATGCTATCTACAATGTGTATTTAAACAGGTAAGCATGGAGCTAAACCATCATCAATCCAGCTCTGTATTATGTATCATCCTGCAGCCACATCCTTCATTTGATCAAAGTCAGGGTGAAAAGAAGAAGTGTAGACCAGACTGAGTGCAACCTGGTTAAACTGGGTAAGGTGGCAGAGGAGGTGGGCGTCAGCTGCAGTTGAGAGGAGAAATCACCTCTGACACCCTGAAGCTGACAGCTCCAGCATGGAGAACACACAGTGTGTATGCATGTGTGTTACTGAGAGCAGGAGAGGAACAGTACGTGTCACTAAATAGAGGGCGTAATAGTGCATTGAGTGTGTGTGGGCTCAGTTATGAATTTGTGCTTTTCTGGCTGTCACACACTGAAGGCAGGAAAGTGTCAAGAGGCAGATTGAAAAATCCTTCTGAATCGCCTCATTGTCACTCACACACCCACAAAAAGCTTTATCAGAGATTCTCTAACACACACACACACACACACTGTACTTTTCTATACTTGTATGCTTGTGAGGACCCTCACCACACACTGTCACACTTCATCTAAAGTATCAAATCTACACACCAGTACCACACTTTAGCCTACTATAATATAACATTCATTGTAATATTAACCCTGAAACCAAGTTCAAACCAAGTCAAGGTCTGAAATTAAAACTTGTTCCTCACAAAGAGAGGAATTCAAGAGCACACACACTGAGTTCTGAAATGACATATTCAGTTATGAAACTGCTACCTCTGATGTAGTATGTTATTATCATTATGACTACTTCACTGTCTACATGTAACCCTACTGTTAAACTCATCCTGAGGAGATAAAGTGTTTAAATACAAACGATCAAATCAAGAAGTATTTCATGTCAACTACCAAATACAAGCAGAAAAAGTGTGTTTTTATTTTTTCATTTTTAATCATGTTTTTAATTTTTTTTTTTACAGTGTTTCTTCTGGACTGGTAAGTAAACAACTGCTAATGCTAACATCAGCTATGTAGCAATAGCAAAACGTACTAATAGCTGACAAACCTTACATTGACCGTATGGCAAGTTTAATGGCGTCTGTGTGAGGTTGGAAATAAAGGTCCACTATGTTGGTTAGCAATGATACCTTTGTTCAAATGTATTACCACCGAAAATTCTAACACTTCTCTGTTACATTTTGCCTTTGGTTCATGCCAGTTAAATAACTTAGGCTAGCATATGCTCCCGTCAGTATCCTCAGTAGACCAGTCATTGAGTTTGGCCTTCATGGTCTACGATGGTTACAAATCGGGTCTCTGAATTGGGACACAGCTACAGAGAAAGGTGTGCCTCTCACTTGCAGGGCAGCACTGGTGATTCTAGAGCCAGACTTTAGTGGTCATTAGAGGAACTGCCGTTTTGGCACTTTTGTGTTGGCTTCAGTTTTCAGCACCATAGCTTGCCACTTGTTTAAATAAATATATAGATTTAATTTTGCTTTAGATTTTGTTTTGTTTTTATTGAGTATTTGGTTTTATTATAGTACCACTAACTCTTAGCCAAGCCACCCTCTGATATCTTACTCCTCATCTCCCAAACCCCTAGTTCCATTACTTTAAGGTGGTGCTAAGGTGAGATATAGTCTATATCTAACTCTCTTGCCTGTCAGAAATCATAGAATCATTGGCCAACTCACAGATATGTGCCCTCCTGGAAGATAACAGCTGCATCTGATGTTGTGGATGACACTGTTAACTCACTAAAAACCAACATTGTGCTGCACTCTTGTGGATTTGTCTAAGGTCTTCATAACATTTTCTAAATTAAGCTACTTTCATTCTACTTTCAAATATTGCATATCTTTCTGGTAGAGGTCAAACTCAAAATCAAGAAAAACAAATGATTCATAAAGGTGTCCCACAAGAATCGATGTTTGTCCCACTCTTTTTACTACATATTCATAACATCTTCCAAGTCAGAACTGCAATGTCTGTTTTTATGCAGATGATACCTCATAATATGGCATCGGCTCTACTGAAATCCAGGCCTTTTCCAGGTTGCAGTCTATTTCTAATGACCTTCAAACCTCTTTAGTGTTAATTTAAAGTTCTGAACTCAGGAAAAGACTAAATGTACATAATTCACAAGGGCACGAACCTTAGGTATTCCTTTAATGTTCAGTTCAGTGACTTTGTGGAGTTTTGTTACTGTTTCATCACCATGAGGTTTGTCAGGTAACAAGAGGAAACTCCAGGAAGACACTGGCCCAGCTGAAAAATAGTTCAAGCACGCATCTTCCTGTAATACCACATATTCGGTTTTTGTAACAAAAATTAAACAAAGACATGTTCATTGTTGAGTTTTAGAGATGCTAATAAGTGGCTCTAGATTAATTATTAGTACACAGACATGAGAGTCATATCAATCTTCTTATTCCACTCTCAGCAAGAAAATAAATAAATATATTTCCAACAAAGCTGAGAATTTTAAATGCCTCTCTCTAATAATGGTATGTCTCAGGCCTGGTACTCTTTTGAGTTGAGGTAAATAAAGGCCTAGCCCCTATTTGAGAATAGTATTTCAATGACATCCTTCCTGACCCAATCTCAATAAAGCCATATGTGTAATATGCAACAACTCCTCCAACCATATAGATCGTTTTTTTTCAACCATCTTATACGACCCATAGGAGCTACTCCTGAAATAACGCCCCTACGGGAGCATTCATACCAGACCTCAATTATCATGGTTACAACAATAAACATATACAATATCATCATTGTCGCCATGGTTACTATAATAACGGTCATGGCTTGGTTAGGTTTAGGAAAAGATCATGATTTGGGTTAAAATGAGTACTTCCTCAACATTAGACGATCTTTGTTGTCATGGTTACAATAAAAACAACGTGATTAACTCAGTTGAACAGTCATGGATAATAGAAACAATAATAAACTGCTGGTTTCACATGGGAATCGAACTCTGCTCTTCTGTGTCATATTCCTGTGTTTTGTTGACTACTCCATCCACCACAACCTCCGCCTGTCGTGGACTTTGTCTCTTTATACTACGTCACTGCACTTTTCCCTTTACTCCTGTCATCATTTCTACCACCACTAGATGTCGCTTAGCAACAAACCCTACCTATGGGTCATAATAGCCCGCTGCACAGACGACCTATTGGCTCGTTTTTTACAGGACGACAGCCTGTGTGATGTGTGTGATGTGATGACGTAATAAATTCCACCCCAATGGTAAAAGCCATTATTACCACAGACTGAACTGAAAGTTAAATGTGAAGCTGTGTGTGTGTGTGTGTGAGTGAGTGAGTGAGTGAGAGAGGCTGACCTCCAGAGTGACTTCCTGCTTTGCCATGGCTCTCTCCACAGTTTCGTACATCTGTGTGTTCTGGATGCCGAGACCACAGAAGATGGCAAATGCCTCCAGGAACTGCTCGTCATTCCTGTTGAACGCCTTCACGCTGCCCGACGCTTCATCCATCTTGTTCACCAACTGACATACACCTACATGGACACAGAAAAAGACATTAATCGTACCTGTTGCCGAACCCTTTTCTTGGTCCACTTTTTATAAGCGTCATCCCTATAAACCTCATGTTATGTAAATCTGGGGCCAGGTGGTATTCTAGCTGTAAAAAACTGTACACATTGTCAAGGGGCTGACTGTGTTACATACGAAGTCAATGGAAAGGCTCGACGCATCACAAATCGAAAATGTTTAAACTTCAGCAAAACATTTGCAGATACCCTGAAGCTTTATGAATCTGCCTCAAAATGGCAGAGTAAATGATGAGTTCAGAGGCCTGTACTACAAAGCAAGTTCAACATACACATTTTCTGGGTCAACTGAACCTAACATTGACCGTCCTGATAACCTGTTATCAACTGGCTGGGTTCACCAGAGCTGTTAATTATAAGCAACATCATCAGAACCATGAATGAAGTCCTTAATATGATATGAGAAGAAACAATGATACTTACTGGTAAGTTTGGGAACAACAATGTCCATAAGTAAAATTCAACAAGGTGAAATGTAAACAATACGATCACATGACTGGAATCAAAAGAAATATTTCTAAATATAATTATTATTAAAGTCAGACTAAGGATATACTGTAAACAAGTGAATGAATTATCATTGGTCCTAACTGAGTATTTTCGCTCTTTGTCTAATGATGAACAAACTGTTGTGAACAGGAGATGCAGATGAAACAGTTAAAGTTAATGTCAGACTGTTTCTGCTGCAGAGAGGAGAGAAAGAAAAGAGGAGAGAAGTAGTTGATGTCTGAAATGTTCATTTATAATCATGGAAATAATTAACAGTGTGTGGCTAATTGTTCTAATCAGAGACATCACAGGTTTAGTTTTTATTTCCACTTGTGGTCACGGAGTCTCCTCATGTTGTTCTGAGCTGCAGTGATGAAGAAGAGAGTAAAAGTCAACACAGTCAGGTATCCTGTTGGATTAAAGAATCTGTGTTCAATTAAAATGAAGCTATAATAGTTATGATATATTTATTTAGTGTGATAAACTCTCCTCTGTTTGTTAGAGGCTCTGTTTTTAAACCAGCGTGGACACATGCAAGTTCTGGAACAGCAAAATGATTCCACTGATTTATATAAATGTCTTCAACTTGATATTATTTATCACTTAATTGTAAACTCTTTTGTCCCTTTCAGGATCCTGTAAGAATGATGACTCCGTTTTTCCAGGTATCTGATTGGTCAGTAGTTTGGCTGTTGACAGGTTTTGATGTGATCCTCTGAAGTTAACCTGCGCTGGAGCAGGTTAGAAGTTTAGCATCAGTTACCATGGCGATTTACCCCGGTAACAAGTGAACCACCATCGTAGGACTGAAAACGTGAAGTTACCTCGATAACCTCAAATCCTGCTTCATAGTACAGACCTCAGAGCTCAGTCTGTGACTGTGCTGAACATTAACATAAACACAAACACACAGCCCATTGCTGGCAAGCTTACAGATAAGGTAAAGTTGGGACGTTGCACTGTTTGGCGCAGATAAAAACAAGACTGTGCAGACATCAAATTTGTGAGAATGACATGAGCCAACGTTTTCTTCGCTTTCTGCCTGAACACACCTTGTGGTGAGGACTGCTGGCCCCAGGTAGCTCAATAGAAGGATTGTGCAACGGTGTTAGCACAGAGAGCAGAATATTTCATTTGAACAGGCATAAGTTATATCATCTTAAAGGTGAGAACTTGAACAAGGTCTATGATAAGCTTACCTTACCTGATGTGTACCAAAGGTTAGCAGTTTTGTGCAAGTGACTGGTTACATAATCATAAAATGAGATATAATTATCAGTTTTTGTTTCACCTGGACACAAATCTGTGCCTGATGAGGACATGGATCTCTAATGCTAATAATGAGCTGTTTGATCTGGCTCATCACTAGGACTCTTAAAGGTAGGAGGAGAGGCTACGAGGACTTGTTTTGTTTGATCACTGAGGAACACCCACAGTCGCAGGTGATCTTTGTGGCCAACTAATGGAGCTGCTATCAGCTGTTAGTGCCAATGATAATCACTGTGATTTATTGAGTGGCAGGACTGTTCATGAATGAATAGTGCTCATGCTATGCTAAGATTTAAGATTGTTCAAGCTTATGCTACATCAATGCATTTAAAACTAACTGGAAAACCACATCGACAGTTTAGGGAGTGAAGTAAAGTGGGGTTAGTGTTCACAGCGCTCACCTCTCTGCAGGTTGGACCGTCATACTGCGTATGTTTGTGAGTGAGAATTAAACTGGTCTGTAAGATTTAACCACCGATCACATTGTCCTTGGTGTCATCTTAGTGGTTAAATCAGGTCTGTTCATCTTGAAAACCCAAGTGGGGTTGGGTGTTAGCTTTCTCACAACAGATGTTTAGTTGAGCTACAGATGGCCAGATGATCATGGATAGATGAAAAAGGGTGATTTAAACCCAGGCCCGGTACTTCAAAGGGTGCTCCACCAAAGAGAGAGAGAGAGAGAGAGAGAGAGAGAGAGAGAGATATCTCATACCTATGACTTTGTCCTTCTTGCCATTCCTAATGGGGGTGCAGAGCAAACTCTTTATCTGGTTGCTGATGTGATCTGGGTTTTCACTCTGTCAGAGGATGAGAGGGATAAGTTCTCACTGAGGGAAAAAAAGAAAAAGAAAATAAAGAATTGAAAAAGAAAGACAAAAGTACTGACTGTCCAGGGGAAGCGTTGGTCCTTGGTGACGTCTGCAATGTTGAGAGGCTGCATGGTGTTTTTAACGTACTGAGCGTACATGTAGTTAATCTGACTGACATCACAGTCCCTGAGGAGACACAAAAACACAAACAACTTCATAACTAACTATTCATAATGAGAGGAAACACCAGCATCACCTGGATTAACCTCTTAAACCCTGCAGGACCTGGTTATGATTCATGTTTCATATTTCCACTGGTGGTGGATTTTTTGTCGGTCAGAGATGGGGACTCACACTTAGGTTGAGCACACAGGACTTTGAGACTTTACTTAAGATGTGTCCTCAAAAGACTTGAGACTAGAATTGGACTTGGACTTTATCTTACTTCTTCTGCCAAGAAGATGAATTGTTCACCCAAGTCTGTTTGTTGTTTGCAAAAAGTACAGAACTGATTTGCACTGAGCTTGGCAGAGGGGTGGGCCAAGGCTCAGGATCAGATCCGGATTATCTATTATGACTGAATTTTTTTTTTTAATGAATTTGTTGTAGGTTGGGCAAGGAGTGGCAGGAAGATGCTTGATGGGCTGTTGGAGGAAAAAAGGTCCAGGTCCGGGCCAGAGACTAGTCTAAACCTCTTCACCAACACAAAACACAAAACCGCACTTTTATTGGAGTCAAAAAAGATTCAAAAAAGAAGTCACAGGAGATGATCAGAGTCCAATAAAATAGAATTTATTCTTTCACAAGAATAAAAGCAAGATCAGATCCGGATCCAAACTCAAGACAAAGATAAAGGTGCACAATCATATATAGCTTATATTCATATAAAATATATATATTTTCTAAAGTGAATCTATCACCGCCTTGGGATCAATGATGTCCAGCCCTGTGTGGAAACCCTCTAACCTCAGTTGCGAGTATAGCTATTCCATTGGATTATATAAGTTTAATATTCAGCATATTTATAATGCGTAGTATATTTTAGTGAAAATGTACTACCACAGGGCCAGCCTGGTTGTTGGGCCACGAGGGCGAGAGAGGGAGGGATTGAGAGAGAGCTAGAGGGAGAGAGACTGATAGCTCTGTGTCGAGGTGTCAGTCCAAGCGCAGCAGGCTGCACAGCGCACTGTGGTTCTCTGTGGCTGTCATCTCTGTCATGTCTGACTCCCCAGAAATCTACATTTGGTTTTATATGAGGTGGCAACAGAACCAAGATAACAATTCAGATAATCATAAAAGTGCTGAATATCGAATCTGATAATCACCCAGGCCGATAATCGGCCAAGCCCTGATAGTCAAAGCTACATTTTATCAAAGCATGCACAGCAGACAGACACAGTTAGAGACTAGCTGGTGAAAACAGTGCAGCATTTAGCAGCTAAAGAGACAGAGATAACAGGAGAGCAAATATTGGACTCAGTTTCATCAGGTGGACAAACACATCTCCAAATGAATGCTAATGTTGCTCTGTGTCCTCACTAACAGGTTATCCAGCAACTTTAAACATTCTCTTACAATATGTGTGTTTCTCTAGATGCTGCTGATTAGCCATGGTGGCTCTCACCGCTGATCATAACTACTGAGTTCATCATCTACTTAATTGGAATAGGACTCAAAGAGGACATACCCCACCATGCACCAGATGTTTTTAAGAGCAAATAGAAAGCTGGTTGGTATCACATCTTGAATGAATCTGTCAAACCGAGAGGTAAAATTTCTCTTTAGAGACACTAAGGAGGATGGTTTTTAAAGCTGCTTCCTAAAGCTCCACAGTAACAGCACTAAAGCATCTGCTGGTTAATGAGAGAACTGCAGCCTGGGAGCTACACCTGAGTCCATCTTGCACCCTGGCTAAGGTCTGAAAGCTGAAGCCATCAGTCATGTCTGTCAGCACTTAATAAGCCTGTTTGTTATCTTTAGTCGCTCCAAGTCCAACCACAGAGTCAGCGCTATAATACTGCATGATAAATGATGGAAAATGGATACATAAACATAGCATGAGGTTAAGGCAGAAACGAGTGGATTTTGGCTGGGTAACTCTGTGGTGGGATGGTATTTGTGTGCCTGTGTGTCTGTGTGTGTGTGTGTGTGTGTGTGTGTGTGTGTGTGAGAGAGAGAAAGAGAGAGAAGGAGAGAATATAAGTGTGTGTTAATGGATGACAGAAGGAATGATGAATAGAAAATGTGTGTTGAAGTGGGTGTGTGTCAGGGAGAAGAAAAGGGAGCGACAGATAAGCAGCGGTGGAGTGTAAGTAGGTACATTTAAGATTCAAGATCTCAAGATCAGCTGCACCAGTTATGTTTCAGATTAAGATTTTTACATGTAAAACATATGATGAACAAAATCTTCTCTTTATTCATGTGAATACTGTCCATGATGTCACTGACTCTAAACTTCAACTGCTTTACTAAAGCTTTTGCTCTTCAACTCTTGTAGCTCCCACACCTTTCCCTCCTCACACTTCTACATCAACCTATAGACTAATGTGCTCTTTACACAGTGCAAATACTTCAGCCCACAACTGCTCCACAGACTCAAATATAAATTAAGGAGTGGATTTTCAGAGAAAAACAGAAAAAAACATTTTCTTAAATTCACTAGTCTCCACACTTTTGACACTAGGAACACCAACATTGCCCAGACGTGTGCAGCAAGGTCTTCTAGCGCTGGAGCTTTAAAGAATTTGGTGATATGAGTTACTTTTTGATTCCATCTTAACTGTTAAGAAATTCAAAGCAGCTGTTTCAGTGGCTGATATTAATGCAAATCTTCTTTCACAGCTTTAAAGCACTGTATTTCTACTTCCATCTTTGGCAGTGTATCATTTGCCTTTAAGCTGTTACAACATGTTTCAGCTATCAGCTTCTTCAGCTAATGCATTTTATATCTCTCAGCTTCAGTTTTACATTTCATTCCCCAAGTTTCAAAAGCAATGAATTTCGGTTGTTATCAGTTATTTTTCAACCATTTTCATTGCTCCTGCAATTTCCTTCAGTTTTCAGCTTCCACAACGTATTTAAGATTCCAGCTTCTAAGTTTTAATTGAAATTCAGCTGTATGTCTCTCCAGCCATTTCTCTCTATGCAAATCATTTCAGTTTTTTTCAGGGAATGAAGTTAGGACTGCTTCAGCAACTTCTTTTGATGCAATGCAAGTCACTGTTTTCAGCTTTTTTACGCGCTCACTTCAGCTTTTTCAACTCTCACTTTAGCTCGCAGGATTTACAGCATTCTTCAGCTGTCAGCCTCTACTTTCCAACTCTACATGTCAGCTCTTTATCAGTTTTAAACATTGCTTCAGCCACTTCCATCATCACTTCTGCAGTTTGCTCAAGCATTCAACTTCCAAATTCCTGTAGCTTTAAGCTTCCAAGTTTTGATTTTACATTTCATCTGTTTTTCCAGCATTCAGCAGAGTCTCCTTTCTCACACATTTGAGAGGTGTCTCTCAGCCTAATCCCTGGGTCAGATCAGATGATTAGACTGCACATACATAACCAATCTGACACACAGATGAAAAGACATATGAAGAGATGCAAAAGACACACTCACACAGACACAATCATGTTTAGATCCCTGCACTTTACATTTAGCTTTGTGTCTACATCCTGCTAATGTTTAAATAAATGGTTTCATCGTGTACTGTATTCCTTTGATTAATGATGAGGCTGAGCCACACACACACACACACACACACACACACACACACATTGCTATTTCTCTGTAATTTAGACCATAGTTAAATGGATTTTCACAATGTAAACCAAAATAATGGTAATTGTGAGGATATAATGACCCAAAAAAAAAATCACATTTAGCCTAAATTTTCAAGCTTTCTATATTTAACGCTGGAATTGTTGAGTATCCTTGAACACCTTTATTTCTTCCTTCATACAAATTTATGCCAGCGATGCAGACCACCTTCCAGTATTTCCAGCAATGAAGCTCAGATTCAGCTTTTAGCAGCTTGCAACACAGTCTAGTGTCAGCTTTTCCAGAGGACAGCGATCGCACCACAGTTTCTTCAGAAAGTGTGTTGTCTCGTTAACAGTAAACCACTCTGAGAAGAGTGTTTCTGTATCATTTATTGTAATTCATTGATGGCAAATAATATGGTCCTTTTACTTCAGTAACATTTTCAGTGCAGGACTCTTACATGTGATGGTATTGTATACTGTGTGTGTGTGTGTGTGTGTGTGTGTGTGTGTGTGTGTGTGTGTGTGTGTGTGTTTTGCTTGGTTTCAGGCTAACTGTAACAATATGTTCTGTCCAGACTGGCCTCAACTCACACACACACATGCTTCGAAATGATGGAGTTTAATTAGCCAAACACTCCACAATCCACATTTCTTCTCCCTCTCTCTGTGATTGACTTGAATGTGGCCACAGAATAGCTACCGGCATCAGCAAACCATGACAGCGTCTCGCTGGCTTTCAATTCAGAAACACAATCAAACTCTAAATCCAGAAAAACTTAATTGCCCCACTCTGTTAACTTAAAAAAACGCTCTATCTGTGATTTGTGCGAGCCGGATCAACATTGGTTCAGCTCAACTGAACTTCCTGCTTTGGTGAAACAGAAGCTGTGTCGTTGGGAAGCCACAGCCTGGGGATAATGTCACTATAAAAAGCCTCCTGCGGTTCCAGCTGGTCAAAGCTAACATCCTGTAGGGCCCCTCCCCTCTCGCCGTGGCCCAGCTGGAGCCGCCCGGTGCCTCCGTATCGCAGCCCCCAGCACATACACACTGTGGTATTTAAAGAGCGTTATTAGATCTAAACAGGGGAGAAACAGCCATGAGAGAAGGCTGTAAAAAACGACACACTACAGAGGATGAGACAAGATAAGACATCTGGTTTGTGTCATCCCTGACTGCTGGGATCTTCACGACCGCCTGTTTTCCTTCGCTTTTGCTCCAGCTCTGTTTGCACACACAGATATAATGTATGGAAAGAAATCTATCTCAGTGTGTGTGTATGTGCGTGCGCGCGCACACGTGTGTGTGTGTGTGTGTGTGTGTGTGTGTATCTGGTTGTGTTTGTAAAGATCAAAGAGGCTGTTAATGACTAAATCTCCATCAGCTGTATAGCTGGTCGCCATGGTGATGGTGACAGATTCGCTGCTTGAGACGCAGACCTTAGTGAGAGTGGGTTATTCAGTATAAAGTCATGTACGTTGCTAAAGTTTTTACACGGTCAGCTCTGCAGGACCTTCCAGCACATGTCTGTGCAGGTTTGGTGTTCCTGGTGTCAAAGATGTGGAAAATGGAGCGAGTTTAAGAAAAGCGTTTTTCTGTTTTTCTCTCACAATCCGCATCTTAATTTGATATTATTATATAATATAATAATCCACTCAGTGGGTTTCAATGCTGTCCAACTCTTCAGACCTTGGAAAACTGTGTCAAGTCTCCTTTTGGACACAGGAACCTCAGAAGACCTGACAGCTCCATCTGGTCCACCAATAAAAAAAGGGTCAAAAACTTTGCTCTCTATCTGGTTTCACTGACTTCATGTCTCTGCGCTGTATCGCTGCCAGGAGCAGGTATTAGGGGCAAAAACAGAACCAATAAAAGCTGACAGAAAGCATAGTGTGTGATCCTTTCAATGTACAATGTATATCACCAAAGTATATCAGTATTAACTTTGAGCTTCCTGATTTTTAAAGTGAAGTTTTCCTGGCTGTTGGAGGACTGAAGGATCGTCCTTTTGGACTGTGTTTAAAGGATAATGTTGGAACCACTTCATCTTTTGTTACTGTCAACAAATCCCATGAAAAGCAAACTGTGCTCGTTCATCTGTCAGCACTTTTTTTTTATTTTCCTCCCTTGTCTGTGGCACTCAGCAACAAGCCTGTTGGATCCTACTGAAGTTACCAATCTCTATAAATAGCTCACATGGTAACATTTTTAAAACAGGTTCAGTAATTTCCTAAAACAGCTGGGCGCTGTATCTTTGAACAAATGTTACTTGAACAGGAGGAAATGGTGCAACTTTGGGGACTATTTTCAGCTGTGGATTAATAAATATTTGGTATTAGTGAGTATTTATGGTCAGTGTTGTTGACCCTACATGTAGCCATGCTACTAGTTAAATTAGCAGTAGCTGTAAAAATGTATAGTAGTGAGCTACTTTTTAAACTAACTAGCACAGTAGCATGTCTAAAAGTTATGTAGTGTGTTCTGTTTTCTCTTGAAGGAGAGAAAAAACATCCCTGCAACTGCATCTGTTTATCATATTATTTAACAGTAGATGTTTGTGAAACAGAATCAGTGTGTGAGGACCTTGTGGTGTAGGTGCATGTGGTATTGACTCAAGAGAGTGACGATGTCACCACTGAGATGTGGTTGAAGGAACGAACCAAGTGACATCAAACCAAGTATCCAACCCAGTCCAGCAGCACTTGATTTATCTTTTTGGGTAAATGTGACCTGGATGAAGACAATGCTCTGAGGCTGTAAAGTCTTTGTTTAAAGGTTTGAAGTTTTGTACTCCCTCCATAAATTCTATAACTCAAACTGGTCCACATAAAGAAGAAACACACACACACACACACACACTTGGGCTGAGATTTAGATTGAATTTTAGATGCTGTGGGGAGGCCAGGCCACCCCAGAGAACAGGGGGGGGGGGTTTCTATCTGATTGCATCTTAAATCAGATTACTGCTTATTCACTCCTCCAGGCTGGAGCAGGAGTTTAGCAGGAAACTCTGCAGCTGCTGCCTCCTCCAATCCTCCGCTGCCATCCTACTCGTACCGCCTGTAAATCCTTAAACCCTTTGGTTTTCTGATGTGCCACTTTATCTCCACTTCTCCTCTGCTTCTTTGTGTCATCTTTTGCTTCTCTTTCAATGTTTTTTTTCTCCCCTGAAATAAGAACTGTGCTGTCTATCACTTCTAGAAGAGAAAGAGGAATGAACTAAAGCCATCTGCGTTTTCTATGTTCAAAGCAATCTTCCCTTGATGAACACTGTCTGCTATACAAATTACGTTAACAGTAAAAAAAAAAAAAAACATTGCATTGAGCTTCTTCAAGAACTTTTAATTGCATTTCACAGTCTTCATCAGCAGCAATTAGTAAAATTAATCTGCTAATGAAGGCCATGACATGTTGTTGAAAGCTCCAGCAAAAGTTAGAAATGGACATTGACAGAGTGTCAACAACTAATCTGCAACAGCAAATACTTTCTCCCACAGATTCTTCATTGCTAACATCCTTCATTTGTTTTAATATATGAGATCTGCTTCTGCACCTTAACCATGACTTACACTGTTATGGTTATGTGTATAAAAGCTGAAAGAAAGGGGGGCACCGAGGTGTTGGGTCTCGGGGGGGAGGGGGTTATTTAATGCTTAAATTTGAAACATTAAAGCTTACAGCAATGAGACTAGATGAGACGACTCTTTACTTCAGTGTTTCTGTAGCGCAGCTCCATGTCGCCTTCAGGGGAAAAGGACATCAGAGTATTGTCTATAAAATGTCACCAAAATGGGTTTTACTGCAGTGTTTCCAACACAAGACACTGATTCACTCGTGGAGGCCACACCATCGACACGGACCACCACTTATTGACTTTTTTTTTTTTCTAGTATCTAAATGGGTAAAATCTTATTTCATTGTAGAGCTGCAGGCAGCACACTGAGTCACTCAGCCTCTCCTTGCCCCCCTCGCTCTCCTCGCTCACATTAACACACTGACAACAGAGACGTCTGTCACAGAGTGACTGGCTATAGAGCACTGAGAGAAATCCCGCTGCCTCAGTGAGCCGGTGGACCTTGTCTGTCTCTTCCCCGGCCCGCACTGATATAGGGCTTTTTGCTAGTCTAGTCATTCACACATTCACTCACACATTCATTCATCACACCCATAAGCACACTCATACACTGATGGAGCGTGTGTGTCAGGACTGGGCTCAATCGTAATCCGTAATCAGCCCTCACTAACCCGACCATGTGAAGTACTGGAACTGTGTACATTGTTCAGGTATTTGTCACAAATTACTATGCAATTGCAATATTTGCAGTGGAACTCCTCATATACAGTATTATCCAATCCAATTATTCAATAATTCATTTAAGAAATTTGCTAAAACAATATTCAGCTAGCTTGATTCCAGCTGAGGTGGTTAATTTACACCTCTGCCCCATGCTGCACAATATGATGATATGTGACATTGTGTTTGTGTTTGTTTTTTTACCTTTTACTTTTTACAACATTTTGCAAGAGGAGCAAAATATCAGCAAGAGCAAAAAAAACTACCATAGCTCTGGATTCATACCTTCTCCTAGTGCACAACTTCCACTGTGTTTATTGTATGAACAAGCGTTTTCAAATGAAGCTTTGAGCCTCTTTCTTGTTTTGAGCTGTTTTGCTCCCTGGGGCACTAATGATAATGAGATTCCAAGTGTCCAGTTCAATCAAACCTGTTATTTGGCATCACTGAAAAGCTTTCTTAATGACATAACACAAATACACTGCATGATACAAGCAGAGTAAAAAGGTCTGTCTCAGGCTGCCGAGGTGGAGCCTCAAAAGTACAGTACAACACACAAACACACAGGTAATATGAACATTAACATCTTCTGGCTTAAACAGATTAGGCATAGAAAAGTGCTCCATCAAAATGCAACAAATATAGCTGTCACATGTAATGAGAGTGCATGTTGACCTCAGAACAACTGTGTCTGTGCGTGATAGACAATTGTTAGATTCTCCTGGAAAGGTCTCGGGCTGCCTCCAAGAAAGGGCCCACTTTATCATGATAAACAGGTTGTGATTGAGGAGCTGTCAAATCGACCCTAATGACAGTGTATCAGGCCAAAGGAGCCCGGCTAATGAGAACAAGATCTAATGTCTGGGAATTTGGCAGGTGAAGGAGGTGGATTACCTCAAAAAGATCCCGAGGGGCATTAAACCAGCTCAGCAGAAGTATTGGACTGAGCCGCTCTGCCTTGTCTTTTCTACTTAAATTCAAAGTGACTGAATGGGCACAATAAGACTTTCTTTCCTGCCAAAACACTGCCTTATATCTCTCTTTTCCTGTTCCTTCTTACATGTGATGATAATGAATCCTTGTGCTAGTGCCCATTACACAAACGTCATCTCAGGGGCTCTGAGGGAGAGGAAAGGGGTAGTTTGCAAATGCGAGGAAACATTAGCACTAATAACCGGTGGAAATAGCTGGAGTACGCCTCAAGTTCAATCTGCAGGACTTTTAATTTAATAACAGGCTTCAGTTGAGAGGGGAACGCCTTACCTTTTGGGAGCGTCTAGGACTTCACCCAGCTCCTCGTATTCCATGTGAAAGACACTGGAGAAGGAGTTCTGCAAAAAGAATAAAAGTAGCTTTATTTGTCTGGGATATTACAGACTGAGAGATGTGGGGAGGGACTGGACGGGGATGACATGTGCTCAGCAACATGTCATTAGGAACATGAATACATACAGGGTCTTGGTTCTGTCTAGAAAAAGATATTGCATGCTTGGCTGCAGGTCCACCCTGTGTTGTTTTTTCGGCCATATCAATTTCCTCATTCCCTCCAATTAAGCCATTACAACTAAACCCAGTTAAGCAGCAAGACCCTGCACACTGCCTGAAACATGTCTCCCAGCATGAGAAAGGGAGCGTTGATCTATTACCTATCCAGCCTCGCCAGAACGAGAGTTTATTTCCACATTCCAGTGCTCTTTTCCTCTTTCCCCCTTATAGGGACTTGTTTTCTCTCAACCTGCACTCCCAGCCTCACAAAGGATCCTTTTTCCATTTTTAAGAGGTGGGGACAGGATGTTAAAGATAGACAAGGATTCTTCGTTTTGGAAAAATTTGCCCCCCCCCCCCCCCCCCCCCCTACCCTTGCATGCACATAAACTCCCCTTTGCTCTGCAGCATCGGTTCACCATGATCTACCTAGGTGAGGGTAATAAAGCTGTTATAAACAGAAAAGGGGGGGAGGTCATGACATTTATTGGGGTTTCTGGCAAGGGGGAAGGTTTATAACTGGGTGACAAATAATGGAATTTTTTTTTTTGCATGTAGGAATATTGAAATAAATCTTCTTCTGTTCTTTGGAAGCATCAGTTAAGGTTTTACGTGTCAAGGAAGCACAAAGGAATGGTGCGCTGGGTTTTCACGTCCAGTTATCAGAGTCAGTAGCAGACACATAAATCTACTGTCTGCTCATGTTATGATATGATTTATGTGTTTAATAGTGGAGCTGAGCACTGACCAAGAAAACAAAAGGAAAGAGAGCTCAGGCTGTCTTCACCAGAAAACTGACATCATTGGTTGTTAAAATACTTTTCCCTCAAGTGACTTATTGCAATCATATGTGCAAGTACCGTCATCTCTAAGTAATAAAGGTGGAGACATACAGAGCTAAAGGGATCAAGTGTTTTTGTTCACCAACCCTGGTTGGTTCCCTCCACTAAAAGACAATGGGATTTTTCCATTGTCCTCTGAAAATAAACAGCTGTTTCTGATCCTGAGGTTTAGTTCAGCAGGATCATCTTCACTAATGAACATCACTCTATGATGTTTGAAGCATAAATACAATCAGCAGAAGTAAAAAGCTAATGTTATAGGCTATAAACCAACTACACCACAGTCACATGACTTCAACACCACGGTCACATGACTTAAACTTCACCACCACTAAACTTCAACTTCTAGTTTGATTTAGCTTTTCATGTTCAACATGACGACAACCTCTGTGGTCTCATTCAGACACTTGTTAGCAACGAAGACGTAAAAGCTTCAAGAAATCAGGACTGGAGTATTTACTGACATATTTTATGTTGTAGAATAAAAGGTGAAAATGTCTTGAGCAGGTGTTAACCACAGACCTTATTTCAGCCATGCGACCAAAACCAAGCAGCAACCTCTGATATAACTCACCTGTTTACATTTTATTAAGGCTTAAAGTTATGTATTATTAAAGGCTGCTTTGAGTGACAGGTGGTTGAGCTTATGTTTGCCACAAACACGCATGCACCGAACGCTCAGCTCCACACGCGCCCCTCCTCTGACCATATTTGGATTAGCTTGGAGTTAGGGGCGGAGTCAGAAACTGCACAGCTTCAAAATCGCTCTTCAGAAACCTGTGGGTGACGTCACAGAGGCTACGTCAATCTTTATTTACAGTGTATGCCAAACACCAACTCAAAGAACTTCAGGGTGAGGGAACAGGACGTGTTAAAATGCTAACTCGTTTCTGGGTTTTAAGACTCATTCCTGCAGAACTCATAATAATAATAATAATTTTAACCATGACTGCAAGGGAGTCTTTCCCTAACATTAATCACGTAGTTTCAAACAAGCCAACAGTGTGGATCTAGGGGTTACAGTGTTGGTAAGTTGCTCAGTCAGTCAACTAACTTTGTTCCAAACTCAAACACCTCAGCAACTATTTGATTGATTGGAATACAATTTGGTCAAGCTCCCGAGAGGATGAATCATAACTCATGGTCCTCATGATTCCCTGACTTTTCATCTAGTGCCACCAGCAGGTCAAAGTTTTCAGAGACTGAATCATCCTGACTGTGGTGGTCCCATGACCAGCACCACGATGAGGGTGACATGTGGAGTAAAATGTCTGAATGTGTGACCATAACATTTGGTACAAACAGTCATGTTTCCCAAATGTTGGGTAATGAGCTCTAATTAGTCTCCTATCATCATTAGGTCAACATTATAATTGGATTGGTTAGTTTAGTTTATGACCAAATACTTGCAAACTAAAGCCATTCCCATTAGTCTCCACTGTATGTGTGTAGCAAACATGCTAAAATCTAAAAGAATCAGGAAGGACCTGATAAATAATCAATCATTAATAGTAGTGGTAGTTCTGAATGACTACATAATAGATAATGCTGAGTTACTAGAGAACAGACTGGGAGATACTGTATTAATGAATCATTAGGTAATGAATACTACATAATTATCTGCATAATGAATGCTTACCTCAAACTACTCACGTGTTTGTGTAGCTTATTGTAAATTATGTTAAACTTCATTATAAAACCAATGTATTTTGGTTAGTGCTCCTCCTGGGTGAGAGCCTCTCACAACTGTAGAAGAAAGAAGCAAAGTAGGGTTTCTGGTACAACTTCATCTATTTACAAACTGCAAGTGGAAATGCGTTGGTCTCACAATAAAGTTGATCTTGAAAACAGCAGGTGGTTTAACAACTGCAATGTGACCTGAACAGTACGTACACACACACACACACACACACACACACACACACACACACACACACACACACACACACACACACACACACACACTGCCTAATATGTTTCTGGAGACCTGTAGCCAATTCCAGATTTGCTGTATTTCTGCTGGGGAGACTTAAACAACACAGAAGAACAAAACACTCCCAGTGGCAGGTCAGATGTCAGATCCTATCACATGTCATTTGCACACACACACACACACACACACACACACAGAACACAAAACACACACACACAAAACACACATATTCCTGAACTCACACCACACGAATGCCAGCACACACAGAATACTGGGTAAAGACACAGGCACACACATATACAAATGCACACACACACACACACACACACACACACACACACACACACACACACACACACACACACACACACACATTCACAGCACTATTTCCAAACAGATGCCACACACTGCAGTAAACTGAAGTGAGCCAACACAGATGAATGTCTTAAAAACTCCTGTGTTATTGTTGGTAGAGTCAGTGAAGAGCAGCTCAGTCATTTACTAGACTTCTACAGGAAAGCTCCTCTCCCAGAGAAGAGGTTGTGCTCAGACCCACAGAGCTGTGGGTCCAGCCTGAGAAGCTACAGACATTAACACTGACAGGGCCATGTAGCAGCTAAGGCCAGTAAAAGTCTGAGAGTAAATGTTGAGTAATAGTTGAGACACATGTTGAGACAAAATTAAAATACGTGGTTAGCAGGTATAATGTTTTACCATGTTCATCATCTTAGTGTTAGTCTGCTAAAACACTAACACAAAGTACAGCCGAGGCTGATGGGAATGTTGTTAGTTTTGCAGATATTTGGTCATAAATCGAAGAATTGGATGAACTAGAAATTCTGCCATGTCAGTGGCACTAGATGAAATGTCAGGGAATCACTAAAAGTGTTTTCAATTAATCCTGGAGTGAACATGAATGTCTGTAGCAAATTACATGGCAATCCACCCAATAATTTCCTAAAACCACAATACCAACCAACACATGAACCTGGTGGTGCTAGAATCAGGGGATCACCTGGGATTCACTGGGATTCATATCTGCATCAAGTTTCATCTCAGTCGCTGGCAATCGTCCAATAGCTGTTCAGATATTTCAGCCTGAAACAATGTGGTAGACCAATCAAAAGATAAAAAGGATAATACTGCCATCCCTAGAGCTGCTTACCAAACAGATTTGGAAGTAATCAAAGTGAAGCAATATGGGGCCTTTGGAGCCCTTGAGGATTTGGGAGCAGCTGCCTGTTTCGCACAATTGGTAATCCTGTCTTCTGTCATTTCAGTGTAAACTCCTCACTGTGAAGTCTTTACATATCTATAAACACATGCAGTCTAATGTGGGATGGATTGTCCATGATGGAAAGCAGATTGTTCATTGACCTCCTTTTTCCTCAGAAACTCAAATGTCTCCAGGTTCTGACCCACCGTTGTCCTGGCCTTGTAGATGTGTTTCTGCTGTTACCTCAGCAGACCACAGCACAGTAGATGCCACTTGTTACCATAGACTCAGGGTGGAAGTAAAAATCTCAGAAAGAGATACATGAAAAATACAGTATATAAGCAAAACTATCTGCATGGTCAGATCCCATTAGAGGCAATAAGTTAAAGGTTTTCTCAGTCCTTTGTTCCACATTGACTGAATCTTGAAAATATCAGTTGTTTAATGTTGTTATGTAACTCTTATGAAAGCTGCTTTCAGAGCCTGGACAATGTTTATAACAAGAGCCTTCACCTCAATTGCTCTAACCTAGTTATAATAAATACAAGTCAAGTTAAACACCATTGTTTTGTAACCCAATACAAACCACTTCAACAGCATTGCACTCCCCATCCAGTTAACCCAGACCTTAACACCAATATTGAATGGTGAAGTGGCTGTGTAGCTGATACTTTGTGAAACCAATATTTACAATACATTGACAGTCAGTACACTCAGCCTTCAGCCCACTGGAATGAATCCTCGAACTGAGCTCTTGTTTTTGGAACTGGTGGTGAGGTTGGAAATGACAGGGTGTTTGCTGCGAGCCAGGTTCAATCATGTGGGTAAGTCTAGATAAACTTATACTGAATCCTG